TTTCTGCGTATACTGCTAACGATAGGCTGTGCCAGTACGCTTCTTGCCCAACTGCACAACCGCCCAACCTATGAAGCCTTGAAAAAAAACACAGCCAGCACCCTAGACCGCTACCTGCGCTGTGTCGAGCAGTTCCTCGACTACCTCAACATGTGGCAGTGCAACATAGGCGACTGCACTTGGCCCTGTGTAGCCGATTACCTGCATTCGGCACAGCAAAGCAAGATTTGCGATCGAGCATGCCAGCGCACGCCACCTGTGATGTGCGTCAAAGCCTTGCGCTGGTTCGCAAAGCACGCTCAAGTCGAGGGTCTAGCCGCCGCAATGTACATGCCCATCATCTCTGCCTACACACTGCGAGATGAGCCGCGCGACCGCCGAGAAGCCATGCCCCTGCCTATGGCATGCGTCATCGCCTGGGAGCAATGCGTTTGCAACTGCCTGGCACCAGTCTCACTGCGCCTTTTGTCGGCGCTGCACTGCTATGCATACACGCCAGCATCCGCTGGGGTGACGCGCAACGCGTTGAATGGCGCACCCTCGACCTAAGCAACCCCGCACTGCGTGGCATCTGTTACCAAACAAAGACCTGCAAGCAAGGGCAGCCGTGGGCGGTGCACTTCTTGGGGTTCTCCGGAACCGACGCAAGCACGTCGTGGGTGGTGAGCTGGCTGAAGCTACTGCACCTGTTTCTTGCAGAGCACCCGCGCAACCGCCCAGACTTCCTCTTCCTGCATTGCAACATCACAGACGCCCGCCAGCCCACGCACTGCCGAGCAGCTACCACCACAGCCTTCGGGTCCTGCGCTGGGCCTGCACAGCACCTTGGTTGCCACCGTCCCAGCAACTGCTGCATCACGCCGAATCCCTTTCGCTGACTCTGCGCAGCCTCAAGTCATGCCTCCTAGCAACCGCAGCCCAGCGGGAACTGCTGAAAGAGAACCGCCGCCTGCAAAGGCATCACCGCGACAGCGCTGCTCTTAACTCGCGAGACGACACCATATAGCAAGCCTCGGCATCCAGCGAGACATCCGCCAAAGCCCTGCTCGCAGGATGGCGCCCCCAGCGCTCTATATGGCAAGAGGGGGACAAACACCAGTGCCTGAGCCTCCCTTCGTGCTAAGCACTGCACCTCCACAGCCCTGCCTCTCCGCGCAACAACTCCGCGACCCAGCTCTCGCACGTTTCGTGTCGCGACAGGAAATCCTCCACGAGGACGCCAGCAACCAACGCCAGCCAGAGCCCGCGCAGCCTCACGCAACGCCCAGCCACTCAGTGGACCTGGAAGCCTTGGAAGTTGAGCAAGCAGCCAGGCGCTTACTGCACGAATCTTCCACGGAAGAAGATATGGCCTCCACGGTGGCGTCAGTGCCATCCGCGCAAGAGTCCGAGGACGAGGCGCTAGCAGAGCCTACCGCACACAGCACGGGTGTCCGCAACGGAGCCTGGGCTGCAACACACTGCGTGACTGCTCAAAGCTGGGACCTGTACCTCCAGGAATACCGCAACATGCACTGCCTGCGCACTGCCTGCGGCGTTTTCATTCGAGCCGGCGCCTTCCTCATCCAAATTTCTAACGCCACAAGCCTTTGCGGCCGCGCTGCCTGCAAGCGAGCGCGAACAACACCGGCTTAGCCAGGAGCCCAGAGTTCCTTGCGCGCCGACCTGCAGCCCATTGTTAACACATCCTCATTCCGCAGCCATTTCGGCCCCCTTTCAAAAAAATCCTGAACCTAGCACAAGTACATGCACGCGCACTCTTCCAGTTAGCCACTGCAGACTCTCCCCCAGGGCGCAATAGACATCGACTTTAAACAGCCTGCTCAAGCTGCCCCGAAAAAGCAATGGACATCGACTCTGCGCAAGATCTTGAGCTCCTATGCACAGGCATGGGCATGCCGCAACGCTTAATTTAATGCAAGCACTGCAATCCTCAGGCTTCCGCACCATTGCAGATCTCGCCTTCAGTCTGCCAGAACAGCACCACCTCGACACGTGGCTTGCAGCGCAGCCACAGGACCTCTGGGATGACTTGCAAGTGGAAGACTGCGCGTGGAGCCCCGTGATCGGCAAGCTCCGCCGTACCGTCGCGCGCTGCCACACTCTCGCCTCCGGCACAAGCCCTTCCATCAGCACTGCAGACGCTGCCCCAGCAGCTAACGCCGCCCGCAATGCACATATCGCTGAGAATGTGTGGGCCGAGCACGCCCCGCCACGCCTTACCAACACTGCAGTGCAAACAATGAAGGATACCTTCACTGCAAATTACCCAGGCGAGATACTCGACGGCAACTCCATGCCAAGCATTAGACTGCTCAGCATAATTTACCAATGGTTCCGCCCAGGCAATCACCCGCAATGGGTCCCATGGCAACTGCGCTTATCAGAAAAGCAATACCAGGAAATCCTGGTTGCCCGCACGGCAAAACCCTCCGCACAGAAGCACAGCTCATCAGCGCTGCCCTAATCGATGACACACCCGAGCTCAGCATTGACCCCAACCGCCTCACGCACGGCTGGCTCAGCAAAATCCAGCAAGTGTTCCGCAACGCCATTGCACTTTGCGGAGGAGCGCATCTGGCAGCCCTGAAAGAGCTTGACGCAAAGGTATTGGAATATGCAACTGCAAACATCCCGCAAGACCTCGGTCTACGCACTGTCAACATGACAGAACTACTGCAAGCAGACCGCAAGATATGGAGCGAACTCTCATCCATGTGCGCCCGGGGCTGGTCCCTGGATGATTCCCTGCACGAACTTACGCATATTCGCAGCGATCTGCACACCCTACTGCAACCCCGGCCCAGACCCCTTAAGCCCCCTAAAGGCAAAGGCAAAGGCAAAGAAGACAAAGGCAAGGGCAAAGGCAAAACCGCCAAGGGCATCCGCAATGACGCTCTTAAGCAGCCACATTCGGGCCAAAGCACGCATGACTTGGCCACAGCTAAGGGCGACAAAAAGATCTGCCTGCGCTTTAACAAAGGCAACTGCAACAACCCCAACTGCAAGTTCCTGCACGTATGCGGTGTAAAGCTAAGCAACGGTGAGCCCTGCGGCCGAAAGCATGCGGCCTGGCAACACCGCGACACACCGCCACCACCCGGACGCAAGCCCATGCCCGGCTCACGTTCCTGCGCTCCAACAGGCAGCTGAGCCACCCAACTGTACGCCCTCCATCACGTCTGCAGAAACACAGCCCGCGACGCAGCGCATTCAGCAATGCCCTGCCGCGCCGCCTGCCCCTGCCCCTGAGCCAATCTCTAGCGATGATTCAGGATCGCAAGCGAGCTACTACTCCGAGAGGCTGAACCCACACTGCCCCGCCTCTTCCTGGACCTCTTCGCAGGGGCAACTAGCCCCCTGTCTGCAGCAGCCAAAGAACTGCACCTCGACTGCATCGAGCCTATTGATGCAGCAAGCAATCCACAGCACAACGTGCTCGATGACGCCTTCTTCACCATACTGCAACGCCTATGCTGCCAAAGCCACTGCGAACGCCAGAGCACATGGAGGGCATGCCAGGACTGTCCTAGCAAGAACAGCAACGCGTCGACGACAGCGCAGAAATTCACGCGCGCAGCCGCGCACTTATTCGCGCCGCCACCGCAAAAGGAGCGGATGGCGGATTCGAGCAACCAGTCGACGCCATGTCATGGCTGGTGCCAGACAACGTTCAACTGCTCCGCGAGCTAAACGCTACTTGCGCACATGTCGCTGCCTGCGCGCACAACCTAGACTCAGACATGCATAACTCCTGGGTAATTTGCTGCACCAGACGAGAAGTGGCATCTCTTGCATCAGTATGCACACATGCACAAGGCACACACCGCAACAAAAACCAGAGTAGTAAATGTATAACGCTGTATGATTCAGCAGCGATAAGCTGCGAGCGGCTGAGAACAACAGCGTTCTCGGAAAGCGTCCCCTGACAGGAACGAAAAATGGTTACTCAGAGGGTACACAAGTATTGAAGTGGATTTTCAAAGGTCAGCGCGCAGGATGCGGCAAAATGGTACGATCAGCCTTTTGCAGGACTTTGTGCTGCTCCATCTTGCTGTGGCTGCTATCCTGACTATTTTGGCTAGTCTTGCCATCAGCTGCAGCCGGAAAGTTCAGCAGCGCATTGAGACTGATTGGTTTTTGGATGATGAGGGCGATGGGCAGCAAGATGAGCAGCAAGAAGAGCTCGAGGATCGTGGCGGTTTTGACAGTGAGGTCAACGACAACTGCCCTTCGGACTTGCAAAACGACCCACAGGTCGAGTTGTCCATGTTGTCCGAGTTTTTCGAGCCAATTCTCTCCGCTTACTTCGGCATGGACGATTCGGTGCAGATCAGCACGGAGCTGGTTCCATCAGTTGAGGCAGATGCTCCAACCATGCGCACAAATGTTTCACCAATGCTGGCCGTGTCAACTCCTGCCAGTCCTGCGATCTTGATGAGCTGGTGACCCAAGTCCTTTGACTCACGAGCAGCAGCTTTTGCTGCATCTATATGGTCCACCCAAAATCCCCCTGTGTGACGTCTTGTTCTCACTCCACCTCCTTCTGTTGCCGTAATGCCATATGCCAAATGCCAAAAGGCTGTGGTTGGCAGTGAAAGCGGTAGCATGTGCTGAGCATATGCCATGAGTGACCGAAGACAACTTGCTTGGCCGCAGGAGGGTTGTTGGGCCTTCAGAAATCTTGCTGCGGGTGTGACTGTAGGATGACTGACTGCAGCTGTGTGTAAAATGCAAGTTTGTCCTGCCAGGTCGAGGGCCAATCACAGCCGATCTGTTTGGCCTCATGCAACACGTGGACGAATGTGGTGGACATGGCAGTGCACATTGACGTCGACTTGGCTCCATGGTAGGTCGTATTCACACATGGCACCGTATGTTTCCGACGTAGTGTTTCACTGCAGCAAAAGTGACAGCCGCGGCAAGAAGATAAGTTCGTCCAACACGTAGAAGGGTGAGTTGCTGGTCCTTGTCGTGGACCTTCCGCAGTCCTACGTTGCATGCAGCATCTAGTACGACCACATGCAGTGACATGTCGCTTTGGGACCCCGAACACCTGCAAGCACAAACAGTCATTGGCTCTGCGCAAGCCCTTCGGTCCTAGCTGCTCACAAAGCCCTAGCTGGGTGGGTGCAACCTTGGCTGTGGGATTCCATATCACGCACAAAGCCTTCAAAGCCTTTAGACTCCTTAGACATCGGCAAGCTCCAGGGCCTCGCTTCTCATCGACGATGAGTGCAGCTCACCGGGAGGAGACGGCATGTGAAGGCGAAGTCTTCTTGTATGACCAAATGTTCGGATACGCAGGTTTCGAGGCCGGCGCTGCACATGAGCGCTGTGAGGGCTCCAAAGCTGTGGTTTGCATTGGGGGCCTGACCGATGGCTTGTTGAGCTTGAGATACTTGCCCGCGCTGGCCGCAGAATTGCGGCGCGTTGGCTGGCGAACGTTTCAACCTGTGCTTGAAAGTAGTTACAGGGGCTGGGGATTGGCAAGTCTTGACGAAGATGTTGCTGGAATCGACAAGTTTTTGTCTTTCTTGCTTTCGAGCCGTGGGATTACAGAAGTCGTCCTGCTGGGATCTTCAACTGGATGTCAAGATGCCGTGCACTACTTGAAAGCTGGAAAGCTCATCAGCCATGTGCGTGGAATCGTACTCCAAGCTCCGGTTAGTGATCGCGAAGCTTTGGAAGTCGAAGCAGGTGACGAGCACATTCAATCCCTCCACGAGTTTGGGGAGCTGGCCAGCAAAATGATATCTGAGGGACGTGGGGAAGAGATGATGCCGCGGGCGGCTTGTGAGTTATTCGGTCCTCCGCATGTGATCTCTGCCTATCGTTTCGACTCGCTGTCCAGACGCTTGGGCGACGACGACATGTTCTCATCAGATTTATCACAAGACGAGCTGATGCAGAGACTTGGTCATGTGCATACCCCTGCCTTGTTGGTGGCATCTGCTGATGACGAATATGTGCCCAAGAGAGTGGATGCATCCAAGCTGTGCCATCGCATGGCAGATGCCATGGCTGCTGGCGTGGCACAGACTGCGGAGTGCTTGGTGCTGGCCCAAGGCGGCCATGGAGTGCGCGGGCCAGAACCACAGACCCGCTTCATCCATGCAGTTGCGGGATTTGTTGATCGGCTGGCCGGCGCTGGCCTCCCCGAGGATGGGCGCCTTTCTCCACTCACTTGGGAAGTCTCTCTGGCGGATGTGCTTCGTGAGCGAGCCGCCGCCCTGCCTGAGAAGCCCCTGCTTGTTGCGCTCGCGGGGATGCCAGGCTCTGGCAAGAGCCGAACGTCGCAGATTTTGTTGCGGCTGCTTCACGATTGTCTTGTGATACCGATGGATGGGTTTCATACCAAGCTGTCAGACTTGAAGACCAGACCAGATGCCGAAAACGTGGTTTACCGGCGAGGAGCTCCAGACACGTTTGACGTTTCGTTGCTGAAAGAAGCACTGCAAAAGGTCAAGTCTGGGTCCTCAAGCGTGAAGTTCCCTGCGTTCGATCATGCAGCGCCGAACTGCACTTGAGGTTAAACAGGTTTGAGGTTGTTAAGGGCTGGGACTTTGACTTGTGAGATATGTGACAGCTTCCGGTTGTCTTCGGGTCTTGCATGATAGCTCTAGTGTGCATCTGGCTTGGTGTTGAGGCACGAGGAGATCCAGTGGAAGATGCAATTTGCTTTGACCGCGACATCCATCGGATCGTCGTTGTGGAGGGATTGTATCTCTTATACGACAAGGATGAGTGACTGAGCTGAATGGGCATGCTTCTCTTGGTTACTGCTTGTTGTACATCTTGTTGCTCGCACGTGTTTTGCTTGACGGCAGCGGCGTGCAGTGGCCATCGCAGCAGGTAGTTTGAGGTTTACATATCAACAGCTAAGGTGGCAAGGCATATCAACGCTTTTTGACTACAAAGTCTACTTGGATGCTGACATTGAGGATGAGATACTTTCATGAAACTTCTCATGGCCTTCCTTCCCCAGAGTCTTCACCTGACAGGAGTGCATCGGCCGAGTGAAGGAGCGCAACAAAGTGATTCCAGGTGCCTCCCGGAGATGTTGTTTCATTGTCCGCTTTGCTTGTCGCCTGCGGCTTGATCATGCAATGTGCAGTGAGGCTACACTCCGCAGGAAATAGACGAGCGTTGTGAGAAGGTGGACCGCAAACATGCGGAGGCCTTCACTTGCACAGGTGCTTCAAAAGCATTGGTAGAAGTTGCTTGCTTTCGGCGAGGTTGTTCAGCTGACGAGTGGAGACGCAGACCTCCATGTGGGGCCAAGTCTCTCCCAGGGCCAAAACTGACGCTGCAGTTGCAGTTGTCTGTGGTGGAAAAGACCCATTGCTCATAGTCTGAGATGGAGAGAGACTTCATGCTTGAGAGGGCCGAGTGTTTTGATTCACAGGTCCATGAAACTTCCACAGCCTCTTCAACGGCCATCTGCATGGCTCGAGAAGCGACGATGAGACATGCAAGGAATCCCAGATCAGCTTTGCAGGGCCTTGCGTAGACTGCTAGATTGACCAGGTGTCGTGCACCTTTTAAAGATGGCAGTTTACTGGTAGTTAGTGGGTATGGTTCGGCACAAAGTGAAGACCTCGTCCGAGAGCGAGCCGAAGGCCGCAGCAAAACCTCAAGGAGGCGAGCTGCATGTTCACATGCTTCCAATGTTGTGGCCATGTCTATGATCCCTGTGCCAATAAAGTTTGGTCACGGCCAGACTTGTGACACTCGTGTTGAGGTGGCAGGTCAAGTCTGCTACTTTTTTGCCTAAGAGGCTGCGCAGCATCTCGGCAGAATGATGTTGATTTGAAGTATGGCAGGGCACAAGTAATCTCAACCGAGGTGATCATACTGCTACTAGCAGGCATTGTTGGTGGGAGTATGCTACTTTTCCCGTCGGGAACTACTGTCGCAGCACCGGTGGATTCTTGGAGGGCAGGGTAGGGTCCGGATGCCGGTGGGGGGGGGGGGGGGGTGTGGTTAGGTTCACGAGTCATGTGTTCTTTCATCGAAGGATTCGCCTCGTGGTCCACCGGACACACTGTTTGCGAAGACTGCTATCCCCCTGGTGCGGAAGTTTATCAAGTCTCGGTACAAAGACTACGCGAAGGGCAAAGCAGCAAGGCTGAAGCATGATACTTGTGAGTCTTTCAATGCTCTTTGCACCAACTTTTGAATCAGGTAACTCTCCGTCACTTGAAGGAGCACATTGTCGCAAACACGGACATTGGCCTCACCTATGAGGATTGCTTGTATAGTCTGCAGTCCATGTGTTCATGTGTCGGTCAGATTCTTGCGAAGGACTTGAGAGATGATCGATACTCCTCTGTGATCGAGGATGAAGTGGATGCTATTGTGGCAAGATGCGATGGTGGCAAGTGACCTGTCCTACCGATTCATATGCTAAGTTCTGTCGAGTTTTACAGATCCATTTGTTGGAGCCAAAGTACTCCCGGGTTGTGCTTGGCCGAGGAAGCCCATCGCGTGCCTGGACACGGTTAGCGCAGACACCGAGCTGTGAGAAAACCGCCGTTAGGTTTCAGAGGCGCAGACGCACGCAGAGGAGCAGTGAACAACGCCCGTTGCGTTGTTGCTCAAGCTCATAGCTGCACCCTCAGTGCAAATTTAAATGCCTAGATCAAGTGTGTGTCTGCATGTGTGTGTGAGAGAGAAAGTGCACCTCTTGATTATGCTTTTTTCAGAGTACTGAGACCCCCGTGCAAGAAAGCAGTGAGGAACCAGTTTCGAATCATTCCTTGGCAAAGCGCTAGTCGGGCCATGTCGGTGGTGGGACGATTTCGCTTATTTGTGCCCGGTGCGACGGCCAAGCCAGCTCCCAAAATGGGACAGGCTCTTGGACCACTGGGTATCAACATGATGACCTTCTGCAAGGACTTCAATGCGCGCACGACGAAGGTTCGACCAGAGGTGCCCCTGCAATGCACCTTGGTACCCCGAACGGACCGAACCTACAAGTTCTTCCTCCGGACCCCCGAGTCAGGTTGGTTCCTCCTGCGCTGTGCAAGGATGGCCAAAGGGTCTGACTTTGGTCAAGGGGCGCCACCAGTGGGCAATATAACGTTGAAGGAGCTCTTCCACATTGCGAAGGCCAAGAGCATGGACCCTCAGCTTATTGGCGTTCCAGTGCGAACGATCTGTCTTGCACTGATGCGATCAGCAAAGCAAATGGGCATCAAGATTTCTCGAGAGCTGGAGCCAGAGTTCTCCAAGCGCAATGATGAACCCATAGAAGGCTTGGAGGAGAAGCGGAAGCAGCTACGGTTGTTGAACAAAGCTCAAAAGAAAGGAAAGGGGAAGAAGTGATCCTTCCAATGCTGAGGGCACTGGAGGCTCTGTCTGACGGCGCGCGTCGATGAAGGTCGCCGGCAGTCTGAGTGTCAAAAGGCATCAGCAGGTCTAACAGCCTGACGTTTCCCTTCGTGGATGTTGATTGCTTAGGATGCCTACTGGAGGTTCGCACATGCTTGTGAGTTGCTTTCATGTCTCAAGCAGCCATGAGGCATCATCAGGTGTGGACAAGCAGCCTGAGCACAAGCGCCTCATGTAACCCCAGGTGCTGATACCACAAGCAAGATTGGCAACCTTAGGCAATGGTGGCAGAGCAACGCAAGCGAGGGTGCACTCTACACAAAGACGGGTCTGGGGAGTTGTACAATATGTACAGCCCTTATGGGTCAGCCTGATGGACGAGCCATCCAAGGACTTCGCGCCACACCTGTAAGACATGTGGCGCAGAGCAGTTGCCTTTGCGTACTTTTTCTTTCTGATGTGTTTCAATCATGACTTTCCAACAATCTGCAGGACGCAGGGCTTAGCTCCGAACTGCATGAAGATGCAGAAGCAGCCGTGCAGGTCCTGTGGACAGCGCAGTACCGCAGTGTTGTAGGCAAGTGCTGTTAGTGCACTCACAGGAACTGGCAGAATCTGTCAGACAACATGCAAGTCGCTTGGGCACAGATGCTGGATCCTCGTCCAGTTTTTTTGTGCATCCTTCATGCGTTTTGGAGCATTGGAGACTTGTTTGGGTGCTTCATTGTCTGCATTGTCCAGGTGCATCCAGACCTGAGCACACACTGGCCCACGCCTGAGCGAGTTTTGCACATGCTGTTAGCGCCTGACGTGTTGGATGCCTCAACAGGTTCGAGTATGGCGATGCATTGCTACGCCTTGTGGAAAAAGGTGGGGCAATATTTTCTTCGCAGCCATGACACCCCGTGGTCAGAAGTGCCTGCTGCAGAAGAAACGGGGAGAAGGCCACCCCCCTGTCTGCAGCCGACCGAGACTCTCCGACCTGCAGGTGTTTCCGGCAATACCGGCACGGAGGCGATGGATGTTGCTGGCGAGGAGGGGGCCAAGTTGCCTTCATCGAGTTACAGAAGCTCTTGCAGCCTATCGTGCGAGCACGTGCAAAGCAAGGCGCATGACGACGAGCGAGACAGTCAATGCCTTGGAGACATTGGGAACTGACAAGGGCCACGCTTTCCTCTTGGAGCTCCCAATCTTTCGCCATGCATGCTGGCTTCACCCTCTTCTTCTCCATTATGTTTTATTCTTGTGGCGTTCGTTTTGGATTCCGGGGCTTTTGTGACTTTAGTTTGGTTTGGAATTTTGCTTCCCGGCTTTCTGATGCTCTTGGCTTCCTCAGTTCTAACGTGAATGCGGGCACTAGTAAACAGGGCACTACTGTGCTGAACACCGAGAAATTGCAGTATGTGGCAGTACGAACATGTAATAGCCAACCACCGTCGTCATCATCATCATCGTCATGGTCACGGCAGGTGTGCAGTACCGAGTTTCAAGTCTTGACTCCCCGAGAGGTTTGAGAAGAGAAGGGTTGCATCTCAATGGCTTTAGTGAGAACACCGCGCCAGCTAACACAAGGATGTCCAACAACAGTGATGACAACTGAAGAGCACAGCACGACCCTCATATCTTCTCCATCTGACAGGGTTAACCCAAACAGCACTGAAGCAGATGCCAGATGATGATTTTGAGTGGAGCGTGCTTTTATTAACATGCACCTCGTGTATCGACCGCAAAAACACAGAACGCAAACTGTAGGACGAAACAACAAACCAAGCCAAGCTTCGAGAAGAAGCATGTTGCATCAGCATGACAATGTTCCTGTTGCAAGGGGGGCTGCGCTCTCAAGCAGCACTACAGCCCAAAGCCAGGGCTTTTCAAGCCGCGAGTTACTCCCGCTTCTAAATTTTTTAGGATAGGCAACATGCCTCAAGGAGCCCCCACCCTGCTCACACAGAGGAGAAGAACTTCAAGAAAGAGAACATTTTTTTTTTTTTTTTTGTGTGGTTCGTTCTGGGCATTCCTTACACCGGACACCTACACCGAACTAGCGGCTATGAACAGCTCAAGCTTCCGAGCGAGGTGCAAAGTTCGAAGAGCTCGAGGAGGATCTGGAACTTGCCTGGCACACAGAGCGCCGTCAGGTCGGGTTTTGTGGGTTTTTCCGGCCTTTGGACCTTGTAATTCTTTCCAGCTTGTAGGAGCTACATTCAGCTGCATCGTCCTCGTTTTGTCATGTTCGCGTTGGGCGGGCACCAGTTCATGAGTTCCTCAGGCCTGGGAATCCCTTGAGACTGCCAGGCACGCTTGTGCTGTGAAGTTCATCTGCTTCAGACATTGTGTCACTGGCCTTGGGAGGCGATGTTTGGAAATGAAGGCGCGAGAGAGAACATTGGCTTCTTCCCGCGTCCCCAAAAGAAACGTGCATACATCAAGCCGACAGGCGGATGATGCGGCCAATGCTTCGCTTGCTCGCTGCCATCTCCGCTTGGCCGATCTCTTGAACTTGCAGGACGTATGCGTAGTATGGGGCGATTGTCACCATTCCCACCCTTGTCGGATCACATGTCCAGCTTTGGGCCAGCAGGGGCTCAAGGAAAGTGCCATGGACGAGTCCTCCACTCAGAAGATGTAGGATTGTAACAAATGTTCGCACAGTTGGATGACAAAGAACTTCTTGGCATCATCTTGGAGGTGCAGCAAGGCAGACAGATACGGCAAGACGCTCTCTCAAGAGGTCATGGCTGGACATGGAACGCCAACAAGTTTGTGTGGACATGGGTCGCAGGAATCGTCGTGCCTGAGTTTGCTGCGACTGCAAGCTGAGCTTCGGGCGGGCCGGGCACCGGTGGGTGACCTATGAACATGCGCGCCTGTCATGGAGGGAGATTAGTGCCTTCTGGTGCCTCTTCCCGTGTGCTGTGCTGTTTCCCAGGATAGTATCGTCCGTACGGAAGAAGGCACGGACGAAGTGGCGAAGCGGCGAAGCGGCGAAGCAGTCTGTGACGTCACCATACCATCACCCGTGCAGCCCGCACCGCTGCAGGCTCAGAATGCGCACTCAATCCGTCACCCGCCCTGGCAACACAAGTGGTTGCGCCTCCTATGGAGGCACAAGCTGTACTTCACTTCTTTCGAAGACACCACGATCTCCGTCTAGTTTACGTGTCAGTTCGATGAGAGTGTCAGGGAGCCTCTTTGCAAGGTGCCAGTTCGCAAGAGGCCACGGCTTCAGGAAGCCCACCAAAGCAGTGAGGGGCAGAAGCCGGAAGATGGCAATGCAGCCAGGGAGCATCTCTGACAAAAATGCAAGTTTGTAACTCAGATTCCATGGCGCTGATCCAGGGATCTTTTTTTGCGTTCGTGTCGGTCGGAGGCTTCGGCGAACATGAGTTGCCCCTTGAATCATCTCGCAATTCTCGCAGCTTTTGAATCAAGAACATGAGATCAATGTCTGGGTCGGCTGTCAGCACTCACCGGTGACTCACCAGCCAAGCTACTGCAACATGCCCAGAGCTGGGTAGGGTTGTAGGGGTGGTGCCAGCACCAAGTCGGCCTTCGTGGCCTCAGCCGACACAGCCACTTCAGAAGCAGGTTGGGATTATTTGGGGGGTTTTTTAATATTCGGGGTGCCTTATTGGGCTCTTATTTTAAGGGAATCCTACCATTTGGGGGTCTGGTTTAGGGGTCCCCTCCTATTTCCGTAAACCCCCAATACCCCCCATAGACGCTTACAGACAGAACCACTGTGACATGTCGAAAGACAAGCCCGTCAAGGCCGCTGCGAATTGGACAATGCAACCGCTGTCACATGTTGATTCTGCTTGGCCTGTGCAGGCCGTGAAGCCTCCAGAGGAGGCACTTTCAGTTTGCTGGAGCAGATGCATGGTCTCATGGTCTGCATGGATCTATTGGAAGTGCTCAATCACATGCAGGTCATCCGACTTGATGCTGACGATGGCGAGGCCATGTGGCTGCGATCCTTTTTTGGTTGCCATATTCGGCTTCTTTGCATTCGAGGTTCAGGGTGACCGGTATCATCTTTGCCTCACTGTGTGCGGATGGTGCAAAGAGTTCAGAAAATATTGAAGAGCCAAAGAGCTGTCGACAGAAGGGTGCATCCCGAAGCGCGTTGACCTCTCAATTAGAAGAGTTTCTCTCATCTGGTTTCCTTGCTCGGTCGCCTTCGTGATAGGTCCTCCCAGTCATGTTTGTGCAGGTGCCGCTACACTCCCGAAGGGAAGGCCTCGACAGGCTGGATCTGTCAATAGCAATACGTTGCGGAGCACCTTGCAGTAGGAACGAAGTAGGTTGGCCCATCGATGAGGAACATGTTCAGTAGCCCAGCGTGCAAAAGCGACGGTCGTCCAGACTGTTGTGTACCGTATGTCCTGCATGGCTTGCGTTCCTGTGATGTCGCCAGCAGGATCCCAGCTGAAGGTAACGGAGCAAAGGGAAAGGGCCGAGGAAGAGGGAAAGGCAAAGGCAAAGGCAAAGGCAAGGGAAGAGGCAAAAGCTCGAAGGCCGGAGCTGGTGCCGTGTCAGAGTGCAGCTCAATTTTTTTCTCCGGTTGCATCGCAGAGGAGCCTGTTCCAAAGTCGGACAAGGGCCTTGAGAAGAGGATACAGAAGCCTTGGCCTGAGAAGGTTAACATGGGCACCCTTCTGCTGCTTTCATGTGGTGCACGCGCTTGCCACGCGAGGTATGCGCGGGGAGACGTTGCGTTGCAAGAGGTGGTGTCAGGAAAGGACAAGAAGCTGTCCGGTCAGGATTGCACCCGTTTTGCCCGCAGAGATTCTAATCACACGCACCCCGTTTATACGCATGGCCCACCGCTCGCAACTGGCAGATGAAGCAAAGATATCGCTCTGATCAAGAGACGGCCTTTCGATTGGCAAAAGCTGAGGCCGAACTTGCTTCTTTCACGGACCTACACAGCTCTCAGCTCATTCTCAACTCATGGGCCGCTGTTGTAAATAAACCAAATCGCAAACCCGGCATAAACGCTAGGAAAGCTCGGTGTTGACGCCACCCACGCTGCACCCAGAAAATGCAGAAAATCATGGAACAATCAAACAACGATAAACGCAGGATGAGCTTGATAGATAGTTCCGGGGATGGACGGACGGTTTTCCAAGTGATTCCTCGACTAGGTACTGTTGGAGAGCAGGTGTCGTTCGGATGTTTGTTGTACCTCGGATTGTCTCCCTGCTCAGGATCTTATGTCTCGTGCGCTGTAACGGAGAAGCCCTCTTGGCGATGCAGGTGCTGCAAACTGCCGAAGCTGGTTTCATTGACACAGAGGAACAAGATCAAACGAAGAGGCTTGGCAATTACTCTGAGGCCTCAGGAACTGCTCCGCGTTTTGAGCACCCTTTGTCAGGCTTACACAGAAGGACATCATTGAATCTGCAAGGGCCTTGGAGTGAGCCGACCGAGCAGTCCAGTGAGATGACGTCAGCATGCCGGAGGCTGGTGTAGGTGTTGCCCGGAAGCATTTCTCCTTCGACCTGCCTTTCGGCCCATATTCCTGTGGGCTCGCCGACGTTAGTCATGCAAGGGTTTGGCTGTGAACAGACAGTTTAGTGAAGTTTAGTGTCCTGTGTGTCCGAATATCATCCTGAGCATGTTCATCAGCCGCCACTGGCCAGGTTCCATTTCCCGAAATGGACAGAACATGTTGGCTGGCGGCATAAAAGGCCATGTCGTGGGGATCTTAGAAGTTTGCTGTCCGAGATTCGTTACTGTGCAGCCGGTAGGCCTTTAAGTGTGGATGGTGTGATCACATGCGCTTCCTTTTTCGAGCGGCCACAAGTTCTGCAGGCATTTATGCATCTGGCCAGAATCCCAGTGGCATTCATCGAGTCTGGTGAATACCATGTGACCATGCTTCTTTTGCCTGAGAAAGCTGTTGACAGAAAGCCGTCTGGCTTGAACTGCTCTTCCATCTGCTTGACATGCTGGCAGCATGCTTGAGATCTCCCAAGAGCGCTGCAAGCAAGACATGACTGTCTAGATAGCATGCGGCTATGCCATCCTTTCATCACTGCTAAACCATGGATAACTTTCTTCTAATGCAATGGACCGTTTGCAAATTGTACTTGGTCACCAACCGTTCCGCCGGTTGAGCAATAGTTGCAGCCTCGTGGCAGCCTTGCCTACAGCCCAGCACTGGCCTCACGCGTCTGCTGCGCTGCTGCGCTTGGGGCGCTGCACTCTGAGCCAACCCTGAGCCAACCGAGGTCGGCACAATGTCTACGGGGAATCCCTTCGGATTGTCTGAAATTTCCCACTATGGTGCCTGGAGTTGAGAAATCTTCCATCAATGCTGCCATTTGTTTTTTTTTTGAGCCGTTCTCGGAGGAAGCGCAAAGCCAAGGCACAATGCGAAATGTTGGCGGAAAGGCTGGCGGATTCATTAACAAAAAGTTCTTTCATCCGTCGTCCATTCGCAATCAGGACGTGGGGGTGTGCACCTAATGTTAAAAAGAGCTGTACAAGAGGAGTTTCACCAGCTCCCTCGGAGCAACAAGAGATTTACAAGAGAGCTCTGCAAGGAGAGACTTTGGAAAGCTATTACAGCTGATGCCGTGGAGAAGCGAAAGCAGGACGACTTAGAGAAGGCAACGGCTGAAAGTGCCCCCTTGTTGCGGTGGATGTCTGAGATCGTAGGGAACTTTCCAAGTGCTGACCCACATGGGCTGGGCCCATCTCGCTTGCAGCTTGCAACTTGTCATTCTTGGCAGCCTGAATCTCGAGGCCAGGGAAGAAGAGCGCAAGGTGGAAGCCTTGAGGAAGGAGACCAAGAAGCGTTTAGCTCGTGGCTGGGTCGCTGCAAGGGTCTTGTCAAATCTTTCGCATTGTGCTTCAAGGAGATGTATCTGACTGGACAGTGTAACAAGGAGATGATACTTGATTGCAGCAAGAGAAGTTGAGTGTTGGCAGTTCTCCCCAGTGTTCAGTCCTTCTCAGTCTTTCAGCATCTGAGCGATGGTAGGTTTGTTGCAGCTTGTTCTGACCCTGGAGAGCGGGCCTGGACCCCAGCTCGCTTACTTGGAGTCCGATGTGTTGTTGCAAAGAGTACTGCCGAGGGAACGCCCGAGCAAATCAAAGCATTCAGAGAGCTCAAGCGCCGGAAAGAGATGCTCAAGGACGATCTGCGGCGAATCTGAAGCCAGTGTTGTTCAAGCTTACTGGCTGGGGGGTGTGGCACAGGAGCGAGCAGGTCGGAATGAGCCGGAAACAGAGGCGGAGGATCAGGACGGCTCTGCGAGAGAGCCTGCTGCTGCTGCTGCTGCTGCTGCTGCTGCTGCTGCTTGAGAAGTTTTACGTTGTCGGTGCGACCTCTTTCTTGGAGTCACGAGCTTGTGAAACACAGGCAAGCTCTGTTGTGACACGTGATTTTGCTAGGTCGGTTTTGGCATCACGGCGCAACCTATTTTCTTGTGACAGAAGGGTTTACTCAGTTTACTCTCATGCTTTGGCAGGATGTCGAAATTGTGACCGCCAACGTGGAACCCAGGGTAAAGCTGGAGCCGTCAGAGTCTCAAAACGAAGCTGCAAGCAGCGGCAGCAAGCCGAAAATCCTGGTGAAATCCAAGCAGCTCGTCACCAAAGTAAGATTTCTGTGATGTCCATGTGTGCTGATGTGTGCTGTGAACCTGTCTGGAGTGGTCCTTGCCAAACACCTGAGGTACCCGGAGGACACCGTGCGCTGCGGTGTTGACGTTTCTGAGACGAGTTGGTAAAATCGAAGATGCGCTGAAATATTACTATAAGTTCCGGAGTTGCAGGATGTCACAGTGCGTGGCCATTGCCAGATTTGGGGCTCCTGGTACACAATGGAGGAAAAGCGCCACTTGACTCAAGCAGATGGCAGCTGGCTGCTAGTCTGCTCCCAAGAAGTTCAATCGAAATGTCGTGGGCTTGAGGCTGGGGCTTCGCATGCTGTCAGCTGACCGACTTCCTGGCCAAGTGCCCGCACGCCCCCGATGAGCCTGAGGCGCAGCTGCCGCAGCCATCGCCAGCCATTTCTCAAGTGCTTAGCTGCTTGAGACTTGCATGTGAGGAGACTCTGGAGAAGTGCAAGGGTGAAGCTCGAAGCAAGCGACGCCGCGCGGTTTGACCCTTTGCTGATCAGTCTGCAGCCAGATGAAGGGTCAAAACTTGGAGCTCAGAAGCACATGTCAAGCAAGGAGCCTGGTGCAGATTCGCCGCGTGCATGGTCCTGCTGTGCAATACGTGATTTTTGATCGCATCACCTGTACAGTTGCGGGAATCACGCATTGATGGAGCTCGGCCTGATGCCTTTGCAGAGAGCTTTTGCGCGCAGCGCCATACTGATCAAAGTGCACTAAACAGATGAAATACCAGCCTCAGATATCGACCGATACGGACATATCTTCAAATGTGTGTCACAGCTTGGAGCTGGAGACGTATCGCGTGAATTTTGTTTTTCCTTTCCAAGTTTATGTGTGTTGTACAGCTGGGGCGCATTGTCGTTCTGGAAGAGAAAAGGCACCAGACTTGCATGGAATCTCTTTCTGGGGCCCTGGCTTTTTTCGCCTGCCCAGGAGTCGATGAACATCTTCACAGAGCTCCACGTCAAAGAGTCAGTGCGGGCAGCAAGCACCTGAGCCACAGAGTTTGACTGGATCACTAGGAGTGTCAGCTGTTGGTGTCTGTGACCTCAGGTGCAGACCCTCCACAATGAGAACATGTTTGCGGTAGCCCAGAGGCCAGGTGGTGGAATGCAAGTGAGCAGAAGGGCTGCAGAAACTTGAGCCTGTGGTAAGAGCTGCTCCTTGTCTGTGTAACTAGACCATGGTAGACCATTGTAGACCCTTTCGGCTCCGTTTCATCATGTAGCTCGGCGAGAGCTCTCTTTGGGAGCCCCCCCTGGGCCCGACGCTGACAGGCAAGCCGAGCCGGCACTTTTGTGAGTGTTTTTTGGACAGAGTTGCACGATCTCAATCTGATTTGTCGTCAGTTGCAAGGCACTTTGTGGCTTGCATATTGATTTCGCACAATGGTACATATGGAAGATCGACTGGTGCCTGCCGACAACAGGCAGGAAGTGAGAGCAGTCGTCAGCAGTCTTCAGCAGGGAGCCACTGCCAGCATGCGAAGATTGCAGTCACATCAGGCCGCCAGTCGAGAAGGCTCGCTGCGACAGATGTATGCCAGATGCCGTTTCGTGATGGTTTTCGTCAGGTTGCGTACACCGTAAATATCAAAGTACCTTGATGTGAGGTAGCATGATACTCTGATTGTGACATGTGGCTGCCTTGAAGTTATCAATCAAAATCGCCAGGTTGAAACCGGTATTGTGACAAGTGGAAAGGCGACAAGGGTCGTGGAGATCTACAACCAGGATTGCGAAAGACAGAGTCCCTCCAGGACAGCAAAGTTGTCTGCTGCCAGGATGAGACCGAGTGCATTACGATCGGTGCATCCGGCTGCTTGCCAGTTGAAGCGGTCTATGGTTCATGTTGGATGATACGGAAGATTTGAAAAATCCCATGGAGCTGAGGCAGCACTCGCACGCCTGAGGTGTGCGACATCATCAGCGACTCGCCAGCAAACTCCCGTCTTTGTGTTTGCAGCAGCTCCAGGTGCAAGAGCGACCCGTTTGCCTCTGAGGCAGCTTCGTAAAGATCGAGCCAGACAAGATCCAGCTCGTCTCAAAGGCGCGAAGGGGAATCCTTGAAAATGTGTGACAGTGACAGCAGGCAGTTCAACAGGTTCAGGTGTTCGGAGTTGACTGCTGCGAGGTGGGGGTCTTTGCCGTGAAGCAGAGACTGTCCGATGAGGTTGCAAGCAAGGTCATTGCGCTTGGAGTGAAAAGTCGCTTGGATGCTTTGTTCAGAAAAACGGAAGCACAGGGACGGGCAGCTTCGTGAAGTTTGCGGTGTCACTCGAATCACTCGAATCCCCAAGCTTGAAGTGATCTGGCGCCCTCATGATTTGTCTGAGTGCAAGAAGTCGCTGTCAATGGCTTTAGCCGAGCATGCGAGCATGTTCTTAGATGTCTTTTGCACACGCAGCTGAGGTTTCCAGAGGCCTGTTCAGCAGTACCCGCACCCGATCGTGGCGCAGAACTCGGAACGCTGGAACATTCCGGAATGTTGTTGCCACCCTGTTCCTTTGACTCCAAGCTCCTCCAGGTCATTGGGGCTGGCCTGGGAGGTATGCAGACGATGATCAGCTTTCTGAAAGCTGGACGCAAGGTGGCTTCCTCAGTCTTAACTTGACGTGTATCCGGCTGAGACGCCCTTGCAGCTGCGCGTTTATGCAAGGACCTCGTTTGTCTCGAAAGACTCGGAGCTTTCGGCGGGCATTCGTGGCTCGTGAGTCTCTTAAACAGTTTGTTCCTGCAGAAGGTGTCCGTGCTTTCCTGGCATTGTCCACGTACCGCCCGTACGGCTTAGTCGCAAGGTCGTCTCCAACAAATTCACCAAGCTGCAAACCGAGAGTGGAAACTATCACGTTGACTTTATGCTTCCAGACACTCCTGCAACCACCGACGTCGAGGGCGATGCGTACAAGATGCTCCACTGCACAAGATTCACAAGATGTGTAGAGCATGGACGTCTATCATAGCATCCCAAGCTTCCGTGGGAGCGCCGGAGTTAGAAAACAGTTCGAGCTAAATTAGGCCTGGGTTGTTTGTGTGCAGGACTTGCTACTGATTGCTGCTTTAAACTCGGTGCGTCTGCAGATCAGCTCAGGACATGGCCTACAAGAGATCAACTTTTGAAGATGTTCAGACAAGCAGCGAGGAATCGCAAGTTCTTGTGTCTGCTGATCAGAAGTCACGTCCGGTCGCATCACCCCAGATGCAGAGTCTGGCCTGTGCAGGCATCACGACCTGGGCGGGCACCTGAGTGGACAAGCGTAAGAATATCAACATGCAGTCAGAGCATATTTCTCAGCATATGGGCGTGAGAGTGTAGCCACTGAGGGCCAAAGACCAAATTCCACACGCATGTCGAAAAGATCAGACCCCTTCCAGACGGAAGCGGCTGCTTGTTTGACACAGGAACGCCCAAAGAGCGAAGCAGACCGATACCCGTGTCAAGGCATTGAAACAAGAATGCCAAAGCCCAGGCTACGCTGTCCATACCTTCCCAGCAAACGACGAGGAAGCCGAGGGAGTGCCTCGGCTTGGTTGCATCGTGAATCCCACCGACTGGAGCATGGTGTGCTGTACTCAGGAGCTGATTGTTGCTTCGGCAGTCATCACTTGGCCTGGCAATCTGTGCAAGTACCGCGAGTGTCTTGCCAAGATGAAGATGCCAGTAGCCATCTAGTAGCCCTATCCGTTAACAGCATTCTGGATGTTTATTTGGGACATGTGGACATGTTGTGCTTGTCTGTTGTTGCTCCATGCTAGGCTTGAGTGGCCTGGAGAGGAGGACTTCGGTGGCTACATCGCCTACGCGTCCTTCTCTATGGAATCCTGGCTGGTGAGTGGAATGTCAGTGGAATGTGCTGTGCCAGCGGGACCATCCCATCTTGAGGGCAGTGTCGCTCAGGTTGACTATAGAGAAGCTGAAGGAAAGGTGTGCGTCCTGTACGGGCACGGCGCCTTTACAATTGAAAACGTGTGCTGCCTAGATTCGACACTGCTTTTCGTGGCTTGCATCCTACTGCTGCCATTGGTAAAATGGTGTCCTGGTTCGTGCTGCGGACCTGTTCATACAGCAGAAGCTTCAAGCTGCGGAGTTGCGCTTTGTGCTTTCATCTCGGGCTATGATTCGGAACGGAGGGTTTGAGTGTGTGGGGCCTTGGGCACAGAACCTTAGGATCTTCATTTTGTGGGCTCAACTTTGCTGAGCGCTTCGGCGGGGGGTTTTAGGTCAGACCCAAAGGTGGCAAAATCGAAGATCCGGGATTCAGGCGTTGTGGGTCGAACATTTTCCTCTCCAACGCTAGTCTCTCAAGGGCTCTTGGGAAGTGGCTTTCCATGTGGCACTGCTCGGAGCAAAGGGCCGCAAGAAAGGCAAAATCCTGAGGTCCGGACGCTCTGTGAGCACAGGTGCAAGAAGGTGATAGTCATGTGCCGCAAGCGTCGCTCGGATGTTGAAGTTCTTGAAGAGGGGCAGGTGCGGCAGGTTCATGGTTTTTGCGCGGTGGCCGCTGCAATTTGCCTTTACCTGTTCGATATGAGAGCACTTTCGACGACTTAGCAGTGCTTCTCTGTCAGTGGGAGGAGCTGTCATCGCAAAAGTTTGGCCGGCACTTGGAGCTCAGGCAATCTGTGTGGAATGAGGGTGATGTCTTGGCTGGTTGGCTTCCTCGAGAATCCGGTCCCTGGCCCCATCTTGCTTGAGGCGGGGGGCATTCGGAGTGCTACGCAGTCTGCTGTGCATCGGCAGAACAGTTTCGCACTGCTGCCGTTTCCCTTCAGGGCTTCCAGAAGATGTACGACCTTGTAGGCCCTATCTTTGCTGAATGGATCACATCGCATGCTGTATTCCTTAATGCCCTCAAGCACCGTTTTATTCTTGCTTGCAGGGTTTGATTGCTGGTCCGCACACTGTGTCGAACCCTCAGTGTGTTTCAGGCTTTTGCTGTGTTGAGCTGCAATACTGGATTTGCAAGAGAACTGTACCGAAGGTCAAGACAGACGAGAAGCGCAGCTATGCGCAGATCACGCAGAGAACTGCTTTCGGTGTGACTTGATGGTTAAGGCATGCTAACGCTTTTGGTTACGCAATCTCAAGATTCAACTTCCCAAGATGAACTTGTGCCTCTGCTAGAGGTGACTGACGTTTACTTCCTTGCCGGCTATTATGGGCTGATGGAGGTCCTTGTGGATGAGATTAAGAGACTTACCAACGGTTGCAGCTTGCACGCAAGAGCCGCAAGTCCTTTCGGCTTCTTTGTGGATCCTCTGGATAGGTCCAAGCTAGTCGAGCTTCCAGCAGCGGCATGTTCGGCTCAGGTGCACAGACCAAGAAGGGTAAGAAGATCAAGTGTCAGCTCATTCTGAAAGCGGCGGGCAAGCCTAGCACGGGAGCATGGCGTGGACCATCTAAAGAGTACAGTGTGATATGTTGTGAAGGTTGGAGTTACGCCAGACCATCAGAAGGACAAAATGCTGGGTTTGAAGGACACAGCCGCTGGAGTGTCTAAAATGCTCGTCGGCCAACCATGGACTTCTTCGCACCCCTTCCCTGAAGTCGGAGGAGCTGGTGGGCTTTTGGGTCAATGGAGATCCGCTTCGTCCAGTGTGTTGCAACGGTTCCTCCGCGTTTGAGTCAGCATAACGCTCTTTCAGCTGTTCAACCTTCCGTGGTGGACCGTAGCAACTAGACAGAGGGAGCAACAGCTGCTTACCAAGGAATGTTCGTTGAAGCTCAGAACTTTGGCAGCTTCAGCTCTGGACCAAGCTTCGTTAGCTCTGCCGCCGGGCGTGAGTTGATGGATCTGCGCTCCGAAGTCTATTGACCATGTCATAACTTTAGGGCTTAATGTTTGAGGTTCAGGGCTTACAAGAGTCCTCAAGCCCGCATGCAAGGTTCGAATCTTCAGGTGGTTCGTGGATTATCCAGCAGACTTCGAGATCGTCCGGGGGATTCTTCCAAAGCTGCGGCCCAGTCCTGAACAGCCTGCCTACGTGCCCGGCGGGAGACACTTGATGCCAACCTTCACGGCCATGAATATGGTCCCAATGCTGGGTGCAGAGCTAGCGGTATGCGGTGCGTGGGGGGCTTTGTCGGAGGGACTCGATGCGGTAGTATGCAGATGATATGCATCGAGTCAGTAGCTTGTGTAAGGCTGAAGCACATCAAGCAGCAGAGCCGACACCCTCTGAAGCAGTTTGTTGCGGAATGCAGAAGTGAATGGGAGGCGTGTGCGTGTGCGACCGTTTGAAGCTCCAGCAATTCTGAAAAGGTCTTCGGCTTGACTCAACTGAAGGCATACATCCGCCAGTGGAAGAAGGACGGCATGATCGATGACAGCAAGCCAGAGCCGCCGAGATCTCAAGATGCTTCAGATGCCTCAGATGCTTCAGATGCTTCAGATGCTACAAAGTCTGGCTTTCACTGCTTGGCCCTTTGTGATCTCTGATCCACCCAGGCCATATCCGTACACAGAGGATATGGTGCAAAGCTTCTTGTCTCCCATACAGTGACAAACAGATAAAGGCGGCAGAGCACCTGCAAATAAAGCACATAAGCATCCGGTTTCTGGGTGACGGGAAAAGAAGTCGGCCACGCAAAGCATCTGCGCGAATGTATGCGTGCGCGTGAGTCAATTTCACTAGCAGCCTTGGGCTGGGGCACCCTGCCGCAAGATGGTGATGGCAGGTTACGCCCCTCCATTTTGTGGCATGCATGTTTGCGTGTTTTGAAGGTTGGATCGATCGGACGAACATGGAGTGGATGCGCAAGGCGGCCATCGCAAGCCAAAGACAGCAGCAGTCTCTTGGCCGTGTTTTGCCGAAGGTTTTTGAACACCTGGCCGCGTTTGGCCGAAGGTTTTTGAACGAACCGGAAGTCCAAACGTTGTGCCAAGGCTCTCCGGCTGAAGCCCGTGCGGCTCTTCCAATAACCGACAAAAAATCGACAAAACTCTGTTGATTTGGCGCTGAAGAAAAAGGGGGTTTGTGACCGCGGCACCTGCTACCTGCTCTGGACTCACCTGGCTCAGATGACTTTCCGCAGCACTCATTTGGTGAGCGTGATTTGTTTTTGCTTCAGGAAGTACATCTTCATCTACGACAAGCAAGGGATAGAGCAGCATGCTGAAGAAGATGACGTTGCAGACTGGTGGATAGTAGGGTATCCTTTGCTTGAGGTTGCATTGCATCAAGCAGCAAAAGCTCTGGTCTCAGCGACGTAGCCTGTGATCTCGTTTGCGTGTCAGTAGTTTATGCCGCACAACCAGGTCTCCGATGCACCTTGACTTTCTACCGTACCACTTTCTACTTGTCAGCGCAGGTGTTTTGGAAGTGTCTGATGCTTGCAGTGGTCGTGCAGTGCTTGCAGTTTTTGTCATCCTGCCATATCCTGCCCAAGACAACGCGGCCGTGACAGGCGAACGTGGTGAGATTACGTGGCGCGACATCTCCTATGGAGAACAGGCTGTTTGTGCTGCGCGTGGAGCAGAACCTCCCACATGTGCTTCCGCAGCGTGACTGCCAGGTTGCTGAGCACAAAACTCATCTGGGCCCCACCGCGTGCACAACTTTGCAGGGCTGCATTAAAAGTGTCATCGAGGCAGTGCGCTTGAGTACACTGGGATGCAGCTCGGCAAGGTGCATGCGGCACAATCCCACAAATGCCGTCATGCACCTCGGTCACAACAAGGCCGTTTGAAGCGCTTAGTGTCGTCCTTGCAGTGCATGCTGTCGACTTGCTTTTGCATACCCTAGGGTTCGACAAACTGCAGATGACAGCACTGTGATTTCATGCAGGGTGTGGTGACCTTGTGGACACCGCCGGGTTCTCAAGGTTCATCTGCGTTTCTCCTTAGCTAGCTTGCTGAGTCTCAGGAGCGTAAAGGAGCCTGTCGTGAAGATGGCGTGCCACAATGCAAAGGCTGGAAACCCTGAGTTGCTGTCGGAGGCGCCTGCGTTGCTGATGGAAGGTGAATGCAATCGCTGTCTCCGGCAATTACATGGCCCGGAGCTTGTCGCAGCTACGAGTGAACCCTCGATCAGATGTCTTTTTCTCTCTCAAGACGCGTTTCATTGCAGCAAGCCTGAACTGTCCAAGCTCCCGGCTGTCAGTGTTTAAGAGACTTCAGCATCTGAGGTCACAGCAGGAGCAGAGTCGAAGTGGAAGGCCTAGACTGCCTTGGTCACGGGACTCTGGAAAAACACTGAAAACTTAAGAGTTTCAACAAAATAACCTTTGTAGTTACTTGTTCTGGCTTCTGGGGTTCGCCAAACCCCTATCCGAACAATTAGCTCTGGATTTAATTGTTGTCTGCAGGTTGGGGTCCCTTGGAGGGGAATTAACTTGGGATTTAATTGTTTCCTTGGGGCCCTTAGAGGGGAATTAACTCTGGATTTAATTGTTTCTGCGGGGTCCTTAGAGCTCCGGATTTAATGCTTTTCGCGTCTTCGGCTCCAGAAAGGGGTGGGAGCTTTTAGCCAAAATCTTATCAAACCCATGATTTCCAAACCCCCCCCCCCCCCCCCCCCCCGGTTCTCGGGCTCCCAAAAAGGGTGGTTGGGAATGGGGTTTGAGCCAAAACTTGCGAAGCCCACGATTTCCAGCCGTGATTTCCAACCCCCTCTCGGGCTCCAAAATGAGTGATTGGGAATGGGGTTTGAGCCCGAAACTTGTCAAATCCATGATCTCCAACCCCTTCCCCCCCCTTCTCAGCTCCAGAAAGGGGTGTTGGGAATGGGAGCTTTTAGCGCTTTTAGATCTCACCAAGCCCCGGTGGTTGGGAATGGGCTCAAAACTTGCAAAATGCACGATATCACAACCATAATTTCCAATCCCCCCGCCACCCCCCCCCCCCCCCCCTTGGGCTCCAAAAAAGGTGGTTGGGAATGGGAGTTCTAGCTCAAAACTTGCCAAATCCATGATTTCACAACCATGATTGCCAATCCCCCCCCCCCCCCTCTCGGCCTCCAAAAAAGGGTGGTAGGGAATGTTTAAGCCCGACGCTTGCCAAATCCATGATTTCCAACCACCCGTTTTCGGGCTCCAAAGGGTAGTTGGGAATGGAGTTTTCGCCCGAGACATGCTAAATCCATGAATGGCTCATTGTTTTCCGGAGCACCCAAAACAATTAAATCTGGAGTTAGTTGTTGTTGATGACAGGAGATGTGGAACCGAAACGAAGTACCGATAGCTTGCTACTTTACGAAGCGAGGTGCCGATGGCTTAGTCTTCGCCGGGGCACCGAAAAACAATTAAATCTGGCGTTAATTGTTTTTGACGACATGAGATGTGGAACCGAAACGAAGTACCGATAGCTTGCTACTTTACGAAGCGAGGTGCCGATGGCTTAGTCTTCGCCGGGGCACCGAAAAACAATTAAATCTGGCGTTAATTGTTTTTGACGACCCGAGATGTGGAACCGAAACGAAGTACCGATAGCTTGCTACTTTACGAAGCGAGGTGCCGATGGCTTAGTCTTCGCCGGGGCACCGAAAAACAATTAAATCTGGCGTTAATTGTTTTTGACGACATGAGATGTGGAACCGAAACGAAGTACCGATAGCTTGCTACTTTACGAAGCGAGGTGCCGATGGCTTAGTCTTCGCCGGGGCACCGAAAAACAATTAAATCTGGCGTTAATTGTTTTTGACGACCCGAGATGTGGAACCGAAACGAAGTACCGATAGCTTGCTACTTTACGAAGCGAGGTGCCGATGGCTTAGTCTTCGCCGGGGCACCGAAAAACAATTAAATCTGGCGTTAATTGTTTTTGACGACATGAGATGTGGAACCGAAACGAAGTACCGATAGCTTGCTACTGAACGGAGGGAAATAGCGGTGGTCTACTCTTTTCCGGACCACCGAAGAAACAACTAAATCTGGAGTTAATTGTTTTCGAAGACCTAAGGCAGACAAGCAGTTAAGTCTAGATGTAATTGCTTCAGAAAATCAAGCATCTGCCTGCAAGAGCTACCTCTGGATTTAAGGTTTTCCGGGTCCTGGGGTTCGGACCCTGCCCCTGACGGACGATTCTCTCCGGATTTAAATTCTGCATAACTCTTGTTTTCATTCTCTTCCCGGGACTCTGGCTCCATATGCAGCAGAGCACCGTGCTCAGTACTTCGCATTGCTGGGAAGGTGTGGGATCTTCGGACGTATGCAGAGTTGCATTGCTACAGGCTCGGGCTTGATCTGCATTCCCCCGCTATTCTCCGGTTGAAGCTGGGAGGACCCGCGGCCACGCCGTCAGCAGCATAGACATGTCCGCGGCTTATTCGGGGGAGCAGGCACGAATGTTTTCTGATCAGCCCTCACCCGCAGATCCATGACTGGTTTGGTGGCCACTGGTGCGGGCTGCCACCTGGAGGCCCTGAAGGATCACGTTGCCATGAGATGCGAGGATTTGTCGAATCATCGGCATTGGATTCATAAGGTCTGGAAAGATGTACTTGCATCGGCGAGACAGCCAAGGCTTCTGCTTACGTTTGCCCTTAGCCTCCACTGTTGGATGGTCGGCTCTTGCAGAGGCCTTACATCACCGAAGAGTGCCCGGGCTATTTCGGTTGCATGGTTTTGGCTGTGACCATTGCGAGTTCTCAGAGCAGATGTATCTCAGTTATTTTTTCAGAGCTGCAGACCATGAGCAGGTACAAAGGGCGCATGATCAGTTGTGCGCGCTTCAGACCTTTCGAGGACGTCGACTGTGCCTCCGCGTCGATGTTCGAAAGTCGCTTGTGCGCATGTCTCTCCGGAAAAACCACTATCCTACATTCTACTCGTATCTGGCAGGATGTTTGCTGTGTTGGGCATTCTGATGGCTTTGGAAGCCGCCTGGCTCTGCTTGGCTCAGCCTCTGTCTTGTTTCTTGCCGTCGTGGCCTGGTCTTATTCTGTGCCGCTGCCAGGTCTTATAGTCCCAGGTGCGGGTAAAGCCAACTTCGACTCCTTCGAGGCAGCTATTGGTGCATGGTGTTGCTTTGGGCAAGACACAGAAAGCGGATTGGACGTGCAGTGAGCTTGAACTTGGCATTTCGTCGCGAGAACCCGGCAAGGGGAGGACGTTGCCTTGCTGCTCTCTGCTTTGGTCAGGCAAACCCCTACGAAACAAAATCTCAGCGAAGGGAGCGTGAGGCGCGAATGGGCATTTGGTTTTCCTGAGCTTTGTGTATTCGAATATGCTGGGTGGCTTGTTGGAGGTGAAGTTTCAGTTGAGACTGAAGCTTGAGTGGCAGCTCCGAGGTGAACTCTTTGCTGGACAAGCTGCAGCCAGATTCCATCATGTGACGGCCTCACAAAAGGTCCCACATAGTGCATGCTGTTCATCGGATGTCTGCTGGAATCTGTCGAGCGGAAGGCGCCAGCTGTTCACCTTTGGGCATCTAGGCTTCCCAGCCCTAGCTTGTCCTTGGACGTTTCTGGTCCCAGGCTCGACCCGAACAAAATTGGCGAGCTGAACAAGGGAGTGGTCAAGGCCCAGCAGTGCATGACGAGTCGGCAGAAGAGGTCAGCATTCCGTGCTCCATGAATGCCTTATCCCGTACTGCTTCGCAGGCTTGGAAGGAAGAGTCAGCGAAGAAGGAAGCTGCCGAAGCTGCAGAGGAAGCACGATGGCATCAGGTTTTTTCAAAAGCAAACCATTGGCAGAGCATCTGCCGCAGTTGAAGGTTTTATAACAAGGTGTTTAGGTTTGAAGTTTAAACATGCAAAGCCGCATGTCTTCGAAAGCTTTGTGATTGTAGCTTCCGCTGGGGGCAGAGAGAGCAGTCCCAAGACCTGCCTACGTAACAAATCCCCCTTACTTTTCGCCATGGGGCCCTGGTGCTGCATTGAGGCACCATGTCGTAGACAAACGGTACCCCTAAAATTTCCTGAAAGGAGCTGCTCACCCGTGGCTTCGGTCAAGCAAACGTGCTGTGCCGGGATTCTGTTGTCTTGTTAGGCTGCCAAGAGCAAGAAGCAGGTCAACAAGAAGCGTGGCAAGAACAAGGTAACGCAACGTGTTGCTGGTGTCTCTGGGGCAACGTCTTGCCGGCACGACGTCAGGTGGGCAACCGCATGAAGAGGAAGGCCTTGAAGCAAGTGTCAGAACAGAGGCCCTGGGTACTGCAAGCTGCCGCTTGAGCTTCTGACCAAGAGTGCTGATGGAAGGCAGAAGGCCAGAGATAGAGCGCAGAATGAGGCTGTGGTCTTGGGTGCAAAGTGTTGCCCACAGAAGTGGATGTCCAAAATACCCCGGACCTGTAGGAAGAAGATGACGACACAGAGGAGGATGAGGATGATGGCGAAGAGGGTGAAGCTGAGGATGGCGAAGGCGCTTTGCAGACAGTGGTTTATTTCGGGGTGCTGCTTGCTGCTCTGCCTAAAGAAGCCCAGCTTGTTGACCCGGAAGAACATCATGCATTCTTGCCTCCTGCGACGGAAACATTGTAGTTAGATTTGAATCGGACTCCAAGACCCCCAAGCCCTGAAAGGAGTCGGGAGTGGCACCCCAAAACCTGGAGAGGCAAACGCGAGCATGCTTCCATGGACTCATTTCTTACATGGGCTTCATCTGTGGCTTTGCAGCTGGGGGTTGAAGAGGTAGTGACAGAGTAAGTCTGTCATAAGCAAGCTTTGTGCACCCCTCATGAGATCTCATGAAAGCGCTATGGCCTTTTTTTCTCTTGGGGGAAGGTTCCCCTCATTTGCCCTCGTTTGCCCTCCATGTCTTTTCGAACCTCGGCGGTGCCCCATGTTTGCCAACAGTCTTTCTGAGCAGCTGCAAGCTACTGTAAAGCTACTGTATTGTCTTCGACAGTCTTGGGACAGAGCGTGGTGTACTGGTATGTCATGTGTAGGCCACGAAGCATCAAACATAGGTGACAACCGTATGGGCCGCCGCGGTCCTCTGAAATCGGGGACAACGGCAGCGGTAGCGCGGCCGTGGGGGGAAAACAACGTTTTAAACACTCCTTTGGAACTGCACTCGTGCAAAACAGGCAAGACAGCATCTTGACTTCTGATATTTTCAGAGACCAGGGAATGCCGGCGCTTGGACACCAAGTTTGTAGGTTGTTAGATGTGCAGCTAAAGGATCGAAAGGCCTTGGACCTACGCGATATTAGGGGGTACCTTATTGGGGTCCTTATTCTAAGGGGATCCTGCTATTTGGGGGTCTATATTAGGGTCCCTTGTTGTCATGTATTGAAAGCTGGTGCCAATATTCATCCGACCAAACCTCAAGCATGGAATGGTTAGAGAAGCCATGTTGCATGTTCCATGAACACCGGGCCTGTTGAAGTCAGCATGTGCCGCTATCTAGGTACCCAAACATCATGCGAGAAACAGTTGTTGCTTTGAGTTCCCAGCTGTTCAACTTTTGCTTGCTGTTTCGTTTCAAGGTGCTTTCCAAAGCAAGCCAGAGGCACGCGTTCAGATGTGAGTGTCTGCAGCACGTCAGCAGGCTGCACGATTGCAGTTGTCCACTTGCGTTGGCAGTCTGGCAAATCAGCACCACCGGGCCTCGGACACAGTTTCCAAATCTCATGTGGGGGTTTACGATAATAAGGGACCCTGATATAGACCCCCAAATACTAGGATCTCCTTGAAATAAGGGATCCCTAATATCGTAAACCCCAAATCTCATGTCTCAGTCTTCCACCCTGTCATGCAGACGGTTGACGAGGTGTCGGAGCAGCGCTGTCGCGATTCTATGGCAAGCGTCGACGGAAGACATAGATCGCTCGACGCCTCCCCGGCATTGCGAAAAGAAGGCTCTATTGACTGTTACCTTGCAGATTTGGTACAGACAAATGCTGCCTGCTGTTGGGATACAAGTTCTGTGAAAGGCGAAAAGGCTCAGATCGCAGTCCAAGTTTAGAGACAGTCATACCAAATCGTATCTCCGGCTACCAGCGGGTTAGTTGAGACCTGTTGGACAGCATCTTCCAGATGTGTCGAATGGCGACGCAAGATTCACTGTACCTCGACAGATCGTCGGTTCTTGCATCAGATGGTTGGCCTAGTCCATGGTGACGAATGCCGAACATCGAGGTCGGCTTTCGTCGTGTCCATGATGGCAGCGCTGCGCTGGAAAGGTTTTTTGCTCACTTTCCGACAGGTCATTGTTGCTGACGATGCGACTCGGCATCTTCTGCAAGGCACATCTTGGGAGACAGAAGTGTCTTTGCTTAAATTCCTTGGTGCTCGGTCAGGATTGCCCTGTGAGCTCCTTGGCCTTTTCTTGTTCTGGCTCGGGTAGGGCGGTAGGGGGCGGCTTCTTCAAGCATATCCGACAGAACGATATCCTTGATTCCTAAAGCAGGGCAGAAGCGTCGCGGTGGTTTGCCATGGCGACTCCTGAGCGTGCGGCGCTGCAGAGCACGGAGCGGGCAGCCGCGAAAGCGTTTCATTGATGTCAGGGGCTCTTGAAGGCATGGCGAGCTCCATCCTCGAAAATGCGCCGGATCTTGATGCCAAAGGCGGATATCAATCAGGAAGTGTCACAGGATTACCTGCAGCCGAGAGTGGCCCGGACAGAGTTGCATCTGGCACAGTCTATGCTGATGTGGGTCCAGATGAGCTGCAAAATCCCTATCCGGACTCGGAGCTTTGCATGCACTATTGCCGTATTATATTCTTGTTGGTGGCATGTCTGGAAGCTCAGACATTGCATGTCGCTCTAAGGATGGTGAGGGCGAGCAAAGTGAGCGGCTGTCCGACCCTGACGCTGGAAGCGAAGATTCTCTGAAGAGCGACGATCCGATGGACGAGGCAAGGGCGCTGTGAGTGGCCACAGGGTTTTGGGTTTAGGGTTTAGGGTTTACGGAGGCGCTGGTTGTCGCCAGCACGTGCAGGAAGTGGAAGACATGGATGCGTTTGAAGATCCCGACGACGTCGACCAGGAAGAGGTTGGTGTCAAGGATCCTGGTCTGATGATGTCTGATGTCTGTGTTGGTAGCTTCTAGAAAACTCTTTGGTCAATCTCTGTCTCTCGCAATGTCGTGCTGAGGATGAGATCCTGCTTCTGGCTGGAGTGGACATTGAAACAGAACCTGGACCTGACAGCGAGCAAGCTCGAGCTACGGAGTCCTCCCCAGTGCTGGCCCCCCCTGTCGATGGCCCTGAGGTGCATGACGAAGCTTCGCCACTTCAATGTCCCTTTGATAGCTACCCCGACCAGAACCTGCCTCCCAAGACCGGCATTGCAATCCCCATGATGGCCGCCACCCCGACCTTTGTTCGAGGGGTGCCTGAAGAGGCCGAGCTGCTGTACATCCCGCCAGAGAGCCTTTTCGACGATATTGTTAAGGCTGAAGCAGACAGGATCTCTCGGCCGGAGAACGTGCGCAACCGAATTGTGTACGACAGCGTCGGCGACCCAAACCAGGTCGAGCCGTGCTCCTTCGTGCCAGTCTCGACGGGAGTCCCTTTGCAGGCGCGCGGGGTCTTTCTCTCTGCCTGTCAACAGCCCGGCGTTAGTAAGCCGGTGTAGTGTGTAATGTAGGTGCTTTTGGGTGGAGTTTCCGCTTCTCTTGAAGTGTGTGTTGGCTCTTTTTCTGCGTTTGCCATGTTGCTCCCAGGATCCTCTGGGAGGCACTTCGGGCACTTCGGGGTCGCCTCTGAGCTTTGTGACGCCCTACTACACACCGACAGGACTACGGTCCGTCAGGGTTCAAGGATCGTTGAGGGGCCATTTCAGGCGCCCGAAGGGTCTGAGACGGGGAGGCCTCACAGTGGCACGAGGCAATCCAGGCTTGCAGAACTCCGTTCGGCGCTGTGGCAGCTCGGCTGCTTGCCGGGCGTGGTCATCGATGGTTCGAAGCAATAACGATCATAAGAAGTTTGGAGAGTTCCGGAGAGCAGTGAACGGAGGAAGGCCTTGTTTCCGTAAGGACGCTGTTGGCTGACCATGGCAAGTGACTAGTTGACACCTTGTCAGAGCAAGCTGGAGAATCCTCGGGTGCAGATGCTTCTAAGTTGACGATGCTGTCAGACGAAGCCTTGGCCCACCAAGCTGAACCTTGGTCTCTAGCCTTGTGCGTGGTGGACGATGCGAGATTGACGCTTTTGCCAGAGACCTTCGAGGCGTGTCTCGAGGCGTTTCGCCGTTATCGGCACGGCCGGTGGTAGATCTCGACTTGACACCTGGCTGACGAGCTACGGGCCAACCCAGTCCACTTACCTCGAATCTGCCAATAAAGGGAGGCCTGGGCCTCTTGGAGGGCAGTTTGCCACATGGAAACCGTCCTTCGCTTCGCGCCCGCCTTGTTTCCGTCGGCACGCTGCATGCAAGTGAACTCGATTCTTGCACGACTTTGCAGTAACATCGTCCTGTGGCTCTGCAGCGTCGCAAGCTGCGATCGCTTGCCGCGCGTCTGCGCTGCCCGACTTACTTGACATAGGGTCGAAGGATCGAGGCTTGCACTGGGCTTGTAACAGCTTGTAACTATCTGACCCCAGCAGCTCGGTGCTGTATGCTGTTGTCATGTCCAACCCCAGCTGCAGGACCTGTTGAAACCTTCCGAAAGCTTCGCCCTTTCTGGTGGTAGGCCAAGCCCCCTTCGTCGCACTTCCAAAACCATGAGAGCAATGGTCAGAAAGCAAAGGCGGAGCAACGAAAATGCGAAACAAGACCTAGTCAAGATCCTCCGCTTCGCGACTCGGGCCTGTTCAGTCTTAGCAGACGAGTTTGCAAAGGCGCAGAGATTGAAGGTTTTGGGGTTTCCATGTAAGGTTCGAGTGCTCCAAGGCTTTGATGAGTTGGAGTTTATGGGTTCTTCGCATTTTGTGACTTTGCTTGTCAGACTCCGTTGTCTGACCTGAGCCGTACCTGGCGTTCGATTTAGCTAGCGGAGTCTATCTGCCGTGTACAGGACCCGATGACCGCACACTGGTCTTCGAAAGCCGCTTCGAAAGCGGCAATCTACGTCGCGCAGTGCAGGCATACGAATTTGAGCTCTTTGGCAGCACGACTCGCAGGGTTCGAGCAAGGCCTTGTAGCGGAGAGAGGGCAAGAACCCTCTGATCTCAACCGAGTTGTGTGCACTCCTTTGCTTAGGGCAACAGGGTGTGCTTGATGAGCGAGGTGACAGGGGCGACCGGACCCGGATGCCCTCCGAAAGAGGGGGTGAGAGCAAGAGAGCAAAACGGATGCTCCAGAGTGAGGGGCCACCGCCCAATTTTTGGGGATTGCACAAAAGTATGCGCGACGCGCACAAAAACGGCAGGTGTGTTGTCGCCAAGCCGTCCAAAGTCGGGAGCACAAGAGTCAAAATGCGTATAGATTTATATGTATATGCACAGGGGTAGATTCCTATCCCCGTTCTGCATGTTGTTTAGCACCTGGATTATTTCGAATCACCAAGAGACAAACCCCATACCAGACCCACTGGACAAATTCGAGCATTGGACCATTAGACCAAGAGGAATAGCAATACAAAAATATGAATAATAGCAACAACAAGAATACAAGTAAGAATAACAAGAATAATAGAAGCAATATGAATAATCATAATGATAAGAATAATCATACTAATAATAATAAGTTGCCCCCCCCGACCGTCAGACCATTGGACCAGTAGGTTCGCCACGTACCTTAGACTAATTGCGCAAAGGACTGCGGTGCAAGGATCATATGATGGCTTCCGGACAACTGAAGTGCTCTCGGCAGTGCGCTGCGTTCGAGGGCTTCAAAGGATCTAGATTCTTGTAAACCTAAGCCCATCAAGGGAATTGGTGGATGATATGGTCGAACTTCCAGGGGACGAAGGAGTGGCAAGTTCTCGCCCTCAACCACCCAAAGTTCTCACGCCATCCAAACCACAAACCAAGAAGCAAAGTTGACCCTTGGGGACGGGAGAATGCAGCAAAAAGAGACCTTTTTTCGCTGCGGCGACCTCCCAGCAGGCCTTCCAATCCTTACTCCAACACAGCTTCTTTTGGTTTGTCGTTCTGAATGCTTCCCAACAACATGCTGGCATATGTAGGGGGCTCTATCGTCTTACTTGCGTCTCTTTCGTGGACAGGGAAATTCATTGTGAGGAGTTGTCTACAGCTACTACAATCCCTACTATCATTTACCTTGTTACAATGTTCTCATAGGGACGGGATAATATGAGCCTAGATTTTTGGAATGGGACGTGGAGGCATGTGTCTCACGTTGTTGTCGTGAATATGCTTTCCTACAATGGTGGCTATCTGTAGCAATGCTCTTCTATGTTCACTACACTACACTATATTATACGATATGATACTATACTATACCATGTTGCGGCAGTAGACTCGAAGCATAGCTAATCTATCCAGTCCTGCTCAGGGAAGTCAGGTGAGGCCCTGAGGCAGTAAGCCCAGCCCCAGATTTCTGGACCATTTCAAAGGAGGAAGGGGCTTCATACTTCGGCTGTGTGGGGAGATTCTGAGAGCCGGGCGCGGGCGGGGGGGGGGGCGGAGGGGGGGGGGGGGGGGGGGGGTGGGCGGGGGGCAAAAGAAACTGTACCTGATATGGGAGCTGGATTCAGGGAAGACAGTCCGACATTCAACAGTGTCGTAGTTTTCTTGCTGTTGAAATATCGTTTTTCCGTTGTTCTACATGACTTTCTAGTATGGGCTGTATGTATGTAGTGTGTTTTTGCAGTACATATTGTCCGTTTTCGATCTCTTTTATATACATAGCTATATATTATATACTGTATAATCTGCATTACACATCTTGCATATATATATATATAGATATATATATATATATATATATATATATACGGATATCACATTTTATTTACTGTGTATTAGGATGAGGACGAGGAATGAGGTGCCTCCTTTTCCAGCGCCCTGAAGGCAAGGGAGGTCCAGGATCCTAGTACTTTCAGGGATTTTTGAGGGGAGGGATGCCTGGGTGAGGTATGACCTCATTCTGAACCCGGACTACAATACCAAGTCCCACACACAATGGTACTTCTTCCGCGTGGGCAACACGCGCAGGGGACCCGAGTATAGGTTTAACATCCTGAACATGGTCAAGCCGACGTCCGTGTACAATGAGGGTATGCGGCCACTCCGCTACTCATCCATTGAGGCAGCTGCGAAAGGTGTTGGCTGGGCCCGCTGCGGCGACAGAATCGCGTACTATCAGAACGGTCTGCGCAGGCAGAAAGGCGCCAACTACTACACCTTGACCTTCACAGTGACTTTTGAGCACGACTGTGATGAAGTCTATTTCTCACATTGCTATCCCTATACATACACCGACCTTCAACTGGACCTCAGGGCTTTGGAGAAGGATCCGAACATGGTGCGACGCTTTCGGCGCAGGAAGTTGTGCGACACCTTGGCGGGCAATGCTTGTGATTTGATAACCATCACGTCTTTCTGTGGTGATCCGGCGGCCTTGAAAGCCCGGCGGGCTGTAGTTATCACTGCCCGTGTCCACCCCGGAGAATCCAATGCGTCCTGGGTCATGAAAGGTATTCTAGACTACCTTACTGGCGCATCGGTGGATGCGAGAATTCTACGCGATAACTTTGTTTTCAAGATTGTTCCTATGCTGAATCCAGATGGTGTGATCGTCGGGAACTACAGATGTTCTTTGGCAGGTCAGGACCTGAATCGTCTCTGGGATGAGCCAAGCAGGAAGATGCATCCCACGATCTTCTTCACAAAGAGTATGTTCCGCCACTTGCTTGATGACAGAGACGTCATCTTGTATGTGGACATTCACGGGCACAGCCGGAAGAAGAATGTTTTCATGTACGGAAACAGCGAGAACAATGGGCTGCGTGAGAAGATCTTTCCTGGTCTGCTCTGCCGGAGTTCGGATTGCTTCAGTTTCGATGACTGCTGCTTCAAGATCCAGAAGAGTAAGGAGTCCACCGCCCGGGTCGTCACCTATCGGGAGCTGGGGGTGGTGAACTCCTACACGCTGGAAGCGTCCTTCTGCGGCGCGGACTTCGGCCCACTGGGCGAGCAGCACTTCACAACCCGGCATCTAGAGGAGATGGGCTACATGCTCTGTGACGCAATTCTCGACTTTTGTGACCCCGACCAGGGAAAGGTTATGCTGGTTTGCAAAGAACTCCAGGTTCTATTTCCGGATGATGGGAATTCCGATGACGTCTCTGACTCTGAAGATGATGGGGCAGCTGCCCTGCGCCGGAAGAAGCGGGCAGCCCGTAAGGCAGTTAAGCAAAGGGAGAAGCCCCAGAAGAAGAAGAAGCCAGCCAAAAGCGACGGACGGGCCAAACTCGATTCGGAGGACATGGTGGACGACGACCGGCGTCAGAAGGAGGGCAAGGACAAGTCCGCGCGCCGCAAAGTTCGCCGTGACCCAGAGGACTCCACCGCAGCTGCCGGCTCCAGCAGCATGGTACCAGAGATGTCAGACGAAGATGCCAAGGGCAAGCGGAAGAAACCCAAGAAGAAAGCTGCCAAAAGCCGGGCAATCCCAAGGGACAAAGATTCCAAGGATGCTAAAACCCCCAAAGATGATGCGGGCAGCAGAGGGTCCCGGCAGGAAGCAGAACCTACCGACGGACCTTAAGCGCCCTGTAACTGCCTTGTTGAGGTGGAGTTTGGGGAGACCAGAACGGCGGCTAACATGGCCGTCGGGAAAACAATAGTGCTTCCTGCCAGTGCGACAGAAAGCGGGTTGGCCGACACAAAGGAGCGAGTGGCATGGCTGGCTTGGGTTCCCTCAATCGTAAATATTCCTGCTGGTGGAGCAACAGTATGAAGGAGTCCATTGCAGGGAATCATTCATTATCTACGACACTGGTAGTTCTTGTGCCGCAAAGACTACTTCAATTTTGCCCAGAGCGAACTTGAGTAGGAGGGGGGTTGAGTTGCGGTCCCAGTGTTTTCATCCTCCACATTCATCAGAGAACTCTTCGCCCACTTGGCTTGTCAGGCCCGCCAAAGACCCAGTCAATTGTGGTGTCGCCATTGGAGGTGGCAGTGCTGGTGACCGAGTCCATGTTTGTTGTTTTCTTCGCAGATGCTTCCAGAGGTGCACTTCTCGCAGCATGTGATCTACCCCCTGTTTTCCGACGGGCACTCGGTGGATGATGCAGTCAGGCTCCCTGGTCTGCAAGTTGCTCTGGATGTTAGGGTTTGTTCTAGTGTTGTGGCCCCCCTTATGGATACGTTTTCTAATCGAATTCCTATCTGAACAAAGTCCACCAAAGGACCCTAAAATGCGAAGTGACTGTACACGTGCCAGCCTTGTCAGGGAAATAGAGGCAGAGGAGGCTGAAGAAAGTGCCGATGAGGTGCCTTGACTTGCTGAGAGGCCGCGCGATCTCGCAGTAACCTCAAGATTGCTGGTGAAGCAAAGGTCAGGTTGGAGGCGCCATTTCCTCGAATTCAGGCCCGCAGCAACCTAGATGGGAATATCAGTGCTTTGATAGTGCTGGCTGGCTTTGTGGACCTCTGTCACAGAGGCAGTTCGATGGTGCCCAAAGCTACGTGCCCAGAGCTCGGAGAGCGCAAAGGGCTGAAAAGAGCTCTTTCAAAAGTACAAGCACGGGAGTTTCTGATCTCACATGCAATCCGAAGGATGGCGAGGGAAAGCCCGTCCTAGATGAGAAGGGGGAAGAACGACGAGGTGTTGAGGCTCTGGAGTGACCACTTGAGGGCGATGGGCGACTTGACTTGACACATTCTCCTTGGCAGGGCCTCTTCACGCTGGACAATCGACGACTCTATGCACTGCAGAGAGCAGCCGTCGCCCACTATCCCAGGCAAGTTCTGTTCTTTCGTCTTCGGGTGGGTGTGGGTTTTTTTGCCGTAGCATCTTCTACGTTTGCTGGAGCAAGTTGCTGGAATCTGCTGGAAGGACCTCCAAGATCACTGTGGAAGAGGTAACAAATCGCTGGGAGGTTACGCAGCATGTGTGGCCCCGCCGTGCTTAAACCAACGCCTCGTGCCATCTTCAATCTGTGCATCAGCCCGTGCTGCGTGTTGTCCAGGAAGAAATTCCGAACACGTGGCAGACCTGGCATTCACAGCGCTTTCCAGAATTGCTTCTCACTGAGCAAGCAGTGCTCCTGTGCAGTCAGTAAGGGACCAACGGTTTGTCCATCTTCATCGCAGAGTGGCTGCTCCCTCAGTTCCTATTTTTGCCATGCTAGAAATTCGAATCACGGAGATCAGGAACGGGACCAGCCGGAACAACACCAGGAATTCTGAAGTGCTCCGAGTGTGGGACTGGAGGTCTCCTAACAGAGTCTGCCAGTGCTTGATTGTTTTTTGAGTTGCACTTGGGTTGCTCTGTGTGTCGTGTTCTTCGGATAGACCAGCTACGACACAGCGGCAGGTCAGCCATCTCGAAGATAGATGACGAAGGTGCCCGGATCCAACAGACCGACAGCAAGCCTCAGCCAAGCCGTTCTGTCACGTGTAGGAGGTGCCGGAGGTGACCGCGCAGCCGAAACGGGAAGCCCGTTTCTCAGCTTCCCACAGCGCAAGATCAAGTTGGTCGAAAGGCTGCTCTCATACACTGAGCTGAGATTGCTGGAGCTTCGGGTATCGAAGTTTTCGAGTGTGACATATTGGCGGCAGTTGACAGGCTGTGGCTGCTGGGAGTACTTGGATCCTCAATCAGTTTGTTCATGCCTTAGCTCCATTGATGCGGAACGTGGCACAGCACGAGCAACGAAGCCAGCCGCTTAGGCCGGGGGCCTTTCAGCAACGCTTTGATGCAGCAGTGGCAAGAGCCTCAGTTTTTCCAGTTCCTTGCCCCCGGTCGTTTGAAACCGAACCCCCAAGCACTAAATCCCAATTCTGACCCCTACAGCGGGAACCCTAGGCCTTCCGCTCCGAAGTTGCACAAGTCAGGGCTTAGGGTTTAGGCTAGTGGCCTTGGCCTAAAGGATGTTAGGGTTTAGGCAAAATCGGGATTGAATAACGAGGAAAATGCAAATGCTCCAACATACACTGTCAGAGTTCGGTCAGCAGTGCGGATCAAGTCGGTTCTTGGCTTGTTGCTTGTTTCACCTCTTCATCCGTCGTAAGGCTGTGATGGCATAGCACCTGGCCGTTTTGATGAACAGCAAAGAGACGGTCTGGGTTTGATGAAGTCTCGGAGTCTAGGGTAGGGATCCAGGGCTCCATTTCCTTCCTGGTGGCTCTGCGGCTCAGGTTTTAAGGTTGAGGGTTTATGGCCTAAGGCATCTTAGGGCTTATGCTGAGCGAGTTCAGGCTTGAGGGTCGAATCTTGATGAATCTTGACGTCTTCCGGGTTGCCGTTACGGGCTTGATAAGGCTCACTGTCGAGGATTCGGCCGTCCCAAGCTTGTTCTGATCTACCGTACCCCCCCCCTTCTTCAGAGCACGGAGCCGCACGGAGCCGCTCGGAGATGCGCCGCTTGAGAAGAAGTGGTGGAATGTGTCGAAGAATCGCCAAGAAAGAGCCCGTCTATAGTAGCTGTAAGAGAAGATCTGGTCGTAGATATAGCAGGTAACGTAGCAGTGCAAATGCAGCCGTTCGAGGTGGGAGCACCAGATGCTTCCGTGCGGATGCCTGGAGTTGCTGCCATTTGCTGCCTTTGAAAAAGAGAAGAACGCAAGCATACGGAAGCTGTCAAAGCATGTGAGGCCAGACCTGGAAATCCGGCCGTTTGAACGCAAGGAAGGCCAGCAGAACAGGATGATGTGATGTCTCAAAGTTCGATCTGCCACTACGGAAGCCTGCTTGCTGGCGCTTCGCGTTCTGATGAACTCAAAGCCGCTGAAGGTCATGCCGAGCAGCCATTCAGGCAGGGACCGAAGCAGTGATGTTCTTATGTGGGAGCTTTGTCTGAGCTTGGGAGGCCAGTTGCAGAAGTCTTTGCTGACGCGCCGAAGCCGTTCGCACCAGGCATCCCGAAAAAGCCCCACGCTGCCATCGAGCATCTGCGAGTCGATTACTGCCCTGGAGGCTGGGTGCCGCAAGTGGCGAAGGAGGAATGTGGATTCCAGACGTGTGCCGAGCCACTTCCCCAGGAAAAAGGTGCAGTGTCCAGACATGAAGAATGTCATGCTCTTGAGGTGTGGTCGGCAACGACTGGAGGGTTGGAGCGTCCTGACCCGAGTCCCAAGACTCCCAAGACTCCCAAGACTCCGATTCAACGAAGCTTGTGCCGAGGCGAGGGGCGAGTGGCCATGCACTGAGTGCATGCGGCACGTTACTCTGCGAATCACGTTGCGCATGCTCAAGTGCTTCTGACCGCATCAACTGACTTGCGACAAGGTACTGCTCTAATTGCTGGAGGAAGTGGCAGTCACGGTGAACCAATGAGAGGCTCGTTAACGAGCCCCGCAAGTATGGATTCAACAACTATCTCGCTTCCCATGGACCCTTCTCGCTGAGATTCAAGTTCCCACGACCGGAGCAAGTGGTCCGAGACACCATCGATATGAGCTCCAAGGACTCTGACTTTGACTTTCGGGTGTAGCGTTGCGCTTTCGGGTTCGGCTGCCTGATCCTCGAAGAGGGTTTCGGCTCATCATCTACCAGCATTGTAGAGTCATCGTAAAGTAGCTTTGGGGCTCTTGAAGGATGGTGTCAAGTCCAAATCTCTGCCCTTCTTCTAGGCTTGTAGGGATAGATGCGGGGTTTCAGGGCTAAAGGGTTCGTCGGCAGGGGCTTTGGGTTCTAGGGTGTCGGTTCTACAAATGGCATGGGTGGCGTTCCGATTGTTGCGCTTGGCTTGAGGAAAATGCTACTGAAACGAGCCTTGCAAAAGCCAGCGGAGAGGCGAAGGACCACGAGACGGAGGAGGAAGAACAGCGCGACAAAGCAGCCAGTTCGCACTGTCCCTGGCCGCATGGAAAACGCAGAGTGACAACTTTTAGCCCCTCCCCTCAGCTTTGTCTGCTTCCTGTGAAGCAACGTCGGCCCATGAAATCCATGATCTAGGACTCTTACGTCTCCAAAAGCAACAGGGACATGCCGTTCTACTCCTTTTCAGGTCCCTACAATCTGCCAAGCTGGGCATTCGTGAGTTTGCCGAAACATGTTGTAACAAAGAATGGCCGAGAGCCAGAATTGAGTTGGGCATTGCTCCATGCACTTTGAAGGACTGAAACTGAAACCTTACACTAACTCCCAAGCCAAATCACACGAAACAAGCAAATGCCTTGCAACTTGAAACCAAGGAAGCAAGCAATCCTGCAGATTTTCGGCCCAGAGGCATGAACCAGAGACAGCATTGCATGCCTTTCATATGCGGGCCACGCCATTCCTCCATTGCTGGGAGCCTCAATAGACACACAGTAGAAGAATTCATCGCGCAAGTAGCCGATGTTAGCTGCTGCGCACACGACAGGCAAGACACAGCACAGGATAGGCACCTACAGCGAACAAGGGAACAGGCAAGGAGGCATCTGATGGCAGAATGCCATGACCTTGAAGGATGGTTGAGAAAAAAGAGTCGGCACCTGAGCGTACCCCCTACGTTCCCTCGACGTGCCCCGTACGCCCCACCCTGCACTAAGCTGGAAGTGAACATCTGCATCTGCAACTGGCACAAGGCCACCACATTGGACTCTGGAAGTGGCGATGGTTTCGCTTTGATGGGCGCGTGCTGCGTCAGCACTCCCAGCTTCACTACAAGTAAGGAGTAAGGAGTATGAGCCAAAGGCAAGGCGCTAAACTTTGTGAGTTTTATGTGCACCTTTCCGTGCACGGTGCGTGCGGCCACTCGTTGAATGCGTTGTTTGCACACTACGTCACCGTGCGGGATTATGCAAATGCAGAACACATGGTGCAAGGCTACTGGAAGAGGCGGCGTTTAGCCGACCAAAGGCAGAAGCCACGTGCGGAGATCAGCTTGTCCGGATGCCATGCCGCAGCCTCAGAAGTTTGCCCATAGGGTCATTGAGTGCGGATGGATGTGTGGCGAGGTGGCGGCAGCTTATGGCTGTCGTTTCATCATCAAGGCGCGCTCCTGCACGATCGTGTTTGATGGCGCCACGTGAAGCCGATGGTGCTCGGTGTGACTAAGGCACCTCTGGCTGCGTACGACGAGGACGGTTTTTGAGGGCAGTCATGCAGTCTCCTGGTCATGATGTGGCGCCAGGAACTTGAGGCCGACACCTATGAGCACAGAGATCTTTGGATTTGCAGTCGGAAGCTTGGGAGTGGTCCCATGGTTCCATGGGCCAATGCGAGGCATGCGCCAGTGTGACAAATTCCGGAAGGTCTCAATGCAGCTGCCCTGCAGCAGCGTTTGCTCGCATCGACCAGCTGCCAGGCTCTCTCTCTCTCTCTTTCTCTCTTTCTCTCTTTCTCTCTTTCTCTCTTTCTCTCTTTCTCTCTTTCTCTCTTTCTCTCTTTCTCTCTTTCTCTCTTTCTCTCTTTCTCTCTTTCTCTCTTTCTCTCTTTCTCTCTTTCTCTCTTTCTCTCTTTCTCTCTTTCTCTCTTTCTCTCTTTCTCTCTTTCTCTCTTTCTCTCTTTCTCTCTTTCTCTCTTTCTCTCCTTTCTCTCTTTCTCTCTTTCTCTCTTTCTTTCCTTTCTCTCTTTCTCTCTTTCTCTCTTTCTCTCTTTCTCTCTTTCTCTCTTTCTCTCTTTCTCTCTTTCTCTCTTTCTCTCTTTCTTTCTTTCTCTCTTTTCCTCTTTACAGCTGACTGAAGAGATGTTCGAGTCAGGAAAAGTACCGACGAGTCACCTCGACTGAGACGAAAACAGAAAAGCCCTGAGTCGGAAAAAAAGCCCTGAACCCAAGCCGGACATGGAGAAGACCCTGTAGAGAAACCCCGGAGAGGCTTTAAAGCTGATCCTCGGTGTAGGGTTCAGGGGTTTCGGGTTCGGGGGTTTGAGTTAAGGGTTGTGAGGGTTCCTGGGTCTTAGGGTTTGCGGTTTCAGGGTTTCAGCTGGACAAAATGAAAATCTGGTCTCTTGTCCTTCCTCCTTGGTCCGGTTTTCTGCCCCGGCAGCTTTTCTTTTCGGGCTCGGTCCACTCCGTTTTCGACTCGTTGTTCCGATTCACCGGTAGCTAGCATGTCGGGAGAGGACTCGCAAGCTGTGATGCCAGGTCAGTGCAGAGCGGTTTCTGCATGCCAAGGGCATGTGGCAGACACTGCAAGAGTGTGTGAGTGCAGCGTCCTCAGCCAGTGAAGTCCTTCCATGTTCGAGATTGGAAGTGTGAGATGCGTTGAACTCGCAGGCCTCGGTGAAAGGCGATGATTGCGAGGCAGATCCCTCAATTCTAAACCCTAAACCCTAAGCCCTAAACCCTAAACCCCAGCTTTATCTGAAGCCAGATATCCTGACACGACCACGGCGGCTGAAGCTCGCAGGCCGTATCGGTGGAGTCCATGGCTCTGAGGTACACACGCGTGACGCTTATGCAAGGCTCTGCACTTCGTGAGTGCCGTGCCACATGGGGATTGCCGAAAATAGGGGTACCCCAAAACATACCCCAAAACACTAGAATCCATGTAAAGAAAGCCCCAAAAAGGGCACCCCCTATTTCGGAAACCCCCACATCTTGACTTAAGGATTCGGAGGCGCATTGCTCCGCTTTGCCGGAGAAGCCCTTCAGCCGCGCCAGGCCATCACCTTCCGCAAGCCTTAGTGGCTGTGTGGCTGAATGGCATCTTGAACCCGGGGCGGAGACAGTTACCCATACACGCCTCAAGAGCTCGGAACCACGGTGGTTTCTGGAATTTTCGAGATGAAGCAAACACGAAGCAACCAGCTGCCCCACAAAAAAAGAGACAACCTCGTTCATTTCTTCATTGTTGTGTTGTTGGTCGGTGTTGTAGCAAGCTTGATGCTGATCTTTGAGGTATCGCTTTGTTGAGTTCAGTTGAATCGTATTGCAAGGAGCCCCGCAGGAACTCGTTTCTGTCTTTGTGGTGCCACACGAAAAGGAACGGCCCTCCTAGACAAAGCAAAGAATATTCACGTACCAGAAGTCAAGACTTAGTTTTTTTGTACTGAGTTGAGCGTTGAAAAGCAGCACCATCCGCGAAGCCAAAAGCCCCCTGCAGCCCCAAGACCTTGAGCCCTAAACCAGGCTTGAGAAGTTCCCAATTCCCACCCGCGAGTTCAAATTGCTCGACTGACTGAGCAACGTCATCTACCACGCAGCAGTTTCGACAGACCCTATGAAAATCCGGTTAATTGAATGACAGCGCGAAATCTCAGCAAGCTATTTACACCGCACGCTGCCGATCTCATCCCGCAGCTTTGAAACTTCAACATGCGCGGAGCATCTTTTCGGTAGAACATTACAGTATGGTCGTACGTTGACATGCTAATTGCTGTGTGTACACTTAGGGAAACTGCCAGCATGCGAGCCAGAATCCCAACGGATGGGATTGCGACACATCCTTCAGCATGCGATTGAGAATCATCTTGACGTCTTGACAGCCAGGGTCGCCTGGTTGTGGCTGGCAGACGAATGCGCGACAGCTTCTGTGGGAGTCGCTGCAATCTTACTTCGGCCAGGGATCTTTTCTGTAGGAGGAGGCAAGTTCACGACATCGCACTCAGGCCGCCCAGATCCAAACTTGCTTTCGGAGAGTGCTAACGGGGCAGCCGCCTCTGCACCGACTGCAAGTTGCGCAAGTTGAGCATGCCCATCTGGCGTGCCCAAAGACTTGAGTACAGCCATTTTGCCTGAGGCCGGCACAGAGGCATGGCTACTGCTACTGAGTTCCAGGTGAGCATCCGAGATTCGGTTTCCCGCTCGGGGGGCTTTTGGCAGCAAGCTCTTGGTGTGTCAGGGCGATCTCGGAGCCTGCTGCCGAAGCGCCGCAAGTCCTCGGGGCTCCTTGGCTAGAGGTGTCAGGTGGCACGCGGAAGTCACATGGATCACACGGTGGCACTTGTGCAATTTCACAGGGACACGTGGGTGTGAGGCCTTGGTGCTAGAACCTCCACGTGACACGCCCCTGCAGTTTGAGGCAGCAAGGAAACAGAGATTCCTTCATTTTCTGAGCATTCCGCAGCTGGCTAGCCGGCTAGGGCCTTGATCCTGCACAGGCCTTGTATGCTTTCAATGATCCTCTGGATGCCTCCGAGCCAGTGGCTAGCCTCCCACTGCTGTACTGCGAGGCCTGGTGCGAACCGGTAAACGTCTTGAGCCTTGTCGCCCGAGCACCTGTCATAGGTGGGTGACGTCGCGCAGTGCAAGTATGGCAGTGGCTGGTCTCTCTGCATCTACGAGGCCGGCTGTAGCACTATGGAAGCAGCCTGAGGATGTCTGAGCCGCGTGAGGTCGAGGAGGCGTGCAACCTACCAAGCGGGGCCTCCTGGATGCTCACCTTGGAGACTCGTCATTGCCCAAGCAAATCCAAGGTATCTGAGGAGTCTGAGGCATTTTCTGTGAAACCCTCGCAAATAGCTGCAGGCGAGGAGTGTGAGCTTTGGTGCCAAGCTCTGAAGGCTGCGCGATGGGCCGCAGGAGGCTTAGCAGAGCCAAACCAGACGCTTGGCGATCTCCGTGAGACCTTGCTCATGAGCCGTGTGACGCAGCATTGTGGCACGACTATTACGGGTGTCAACTCTATATTGTCACGAGGCTCGTGCACAAGCGAAGGGCAAGAAGCGTGCTGCCGAAGAGGCAGACCTGGACCGAATTGGTCACCTCAAAAACCTTAACCCTGAAACCTAGACCTAGACCCAGAATCCTGAATCCACATCCCTAAATTCGCTAAAGCCTTCACCTGAAGCCCAATGTCTTGCAAAGGCCCTTGACGACTTCGATAGTAACCCGGTGGAGTGGTGCCAGGCAGAGCGTTCTCTGCCCAAAACAAGAATTCAAGTCTCGTGCATTTCTCGGACCAGATTCAGAGATCCAGGCAGCCGCACGGCGCTTGAAGCAGGTATCCGGATATGCGCCGCTGGGCTCCCAGTCGGCGGCATGTCTGTTAGAGTCACTTTGGTGTCGTCGCGTGCCAAGCTGCAGAGCGCCGCAGGCCCCCTCCGACGCTGTCAGCAGCGAGCCGGCTCCGGGCATGGGCATCTCCCAGGAGCGACTCTCAAGGGACTAAAGGAGGGACCCTGAGAAGGGACCCTAGGGGTTATTTTTATTTGGGGGCTACTTGGGTCAGTGAAGAGGCTGCCAAAGTAGCGAAAGGGAAACCTCGAATTCTCAGCTCTCTTGGTGAGGACGACGCGCCTGTCCCTGTCCCTGAGTGCACCAGGCCGTACCTTTTTTGTTGAGGCTGCTAGCGTTTGTGGGATAAAGGGAGTTTCCGCCGTGCGTCCAGGTGACGGCTCCGCTGTCCAAGCCTTAAATCACGTGATAGACGTGACATTTTAGGGTTTAGGGTTCAGGGTTTAGGGTTTAGGGCAGCCTGAAGAGGGGACTCCTTGCAAAAGGTCTCCGCATCGTCCACAACCATTGCCCACGGCTCGTCACAGTGCAGTCCCACTACTACATGTCTGTAGTGTCTGATATATACTACTTTTATACACTTTATGCAAAATATATATATATATATATTGTTACTTTTTGTTACTGAAATCATACCATCTTCTGTGCACATGTTGCTCGCACACCGAGGCCGGCTCCTGGATGTCGGGCACCGGGATCTCCGGGATCCCGGGATCTGGAGCCGTCGATGCCGCCACCGAAGCCACCCGCCGGGTGCTGGCAGCTTGCGAGGCCCAAAGCCCAAGCAGCGTGGATTTGTTGCAGATGCGTTGGGAATTTTTTTGCTGCGACTTGCTGAGGATGTCTGCCTGGAAGCCGAAGGACTTACAGGGGATCCGAAACTCCAAGCATCCATCTCTGAATCCTAATCAGCCAGCACTCATCGCGGAAGGCCTGCTGGAAGCTGCCTTGGCCAAACGGCCGTTCCGCCAGGCGGGGGCCTGCCTACCTTTCTGTTCTTGTGGGCTTGGATTTCATTTGGGGTTTCTTTGGCGTCTGAGTAAGGATGCTGCGGGAGCCGACCTGCCCTCAGAGTCGAGGAGTGGTTTGTTCAAGCATGTCTACCTGGAACAGTGGCAATTTAAGAACTGGTTCTTATTTGAGCAGAAATACAGTATATGTGGAACGCTAGTATGGCGAGTTAGACTGATGGGAAATTGCAGATTCAGCGAAGCTATTCCTTGAGACGTGCGAAGAAATGAGTAGGATTTCTGGAAGCCAGTTTCGGCCTGTGAACTCAGAAGGCTTCCGCGCATCGGGCCGCACGAGATACACGACTCCTTGGGTGTGTAGCCAGGACCGCTAGAATCGCTAGAAAATACAAGTTGATGGCGATGTTTGCTCAAGTACGAAGGAGCTTGACTTTCTCTAATCGACAGCAACCGTGGTTCACACGTCGAAAAGCGCCGAGGAACAATGGGACATGTCTTGTTTTTCAGCTTTGAGTGGTCGAGGAAGCGGGGAGGCATGAAATGCAACCCAAGCCAAGTTCCCAAACAGTTTCCTCCGTTAACCCCTTCACCTACACCAGGGTCCGTTAAGATTTGCTTGCGGTGAGCATGCGCCTTCACAAAGGACGTTTTAGAGAGTTGTTGAGATGACATGTGCACCCAGCATCTTCAAACCATTCGCTCTGATTCTACCACCGAGCGCAAGTGCATCCATTGAGGCTCTCCGGTGCGCGCTCGTGCCGGCTGTGGCAACTGTCGGCCGCTGCGCGACTCCTGAAAATCAGCTCTGCTCGAACGTAGCACAAGCGATCATGGCAGTGTGACGGAAGTTGGCCCAGGCTGGACGCGCTGGAACGCCGATTTGCCTCTGTCCGATGCAAGGAACCTCTTGCGATGGTTGGAGGCCAGAAGCTAAGCCGCTCGTTGTCGTCCGTCTGCCTCTGCAAGACACCATGGGCTGTGGGGCATCTGCAAGATGTTAGCAACCCGGAGCCATGCACAGAGACGGATCTCGACTCCACCACACGATCTGTCAAAGGTCTCTGACTTGGTCTGGCTTGGCCTCCCCCGAACCCTCCCTCCCAAATGCCCCAAACATCCTCAAAGCAGTGCTGAAGAGGCTCGGCGCCAAGCTGCCTGCAACCTGGGCCTGGCACGTCTGGCATGGGAATCGCATGTTTCCTGGGACTCTTGAAGGGCACTTTTTCAGCTTTTGGGGGGGGTTCCTTTGCGCGGCTTTCCTTCTCCGAGCTCCGCCCCGATGTCCGGCGCTGGGCGCTTCCGCTTGCCAGGTGTGCGGCCCTCTCCAGTCGCCTTTGGCGGGGCTGTCTTCCGAATTAAGCTTAAGGATGGGTCCTTTCCTGAGTTTCTAACCTCCGAAACCTTCGAAGCCTTGGAAGGGCTGTTTCGGGGTTCAGGATGAGGCGCCTTTTGCGACTTCCCAGGTGCCCACGTACGTCGCTTGGCCGCACAGCTCCTCGTCTCCGAGCTGGGCGAGCCTTCGGCTCAGCGTTTCCCAAAAAAGGGTCCATCATGTAGATGGATCAACGTTTTTGCAGTGCTGCTGGGTTGCGAGATGTTGTGAGGGAAGGGCAGTCCACCACCGGCAGATTCTCGCAAGAATGGTTTGCTCTCATATTCCAGCTTAGTTTAGTCTTTGAGCCTCACTTTTCGGAATTGCTACGATGACCATGGCCTGGCCAGTAGTGACACCCGCCACAGGTATGTTGTTCTGGACGGACGGGTTTTTGGGACTTTGTCTGTGCTGTGATGTATGCGTGCGCACGTACAGGGCAAGTAGTCTTTTGCTTCCTGGCGCCCAAGATAGGTTTAGGAGCACGCTTCTTTTTGCCGCAAATGTCGTGTCTCAATGCTGGCCTGCTATGCATCACGCCGTTGCATTGTTGCAACTGGTCAGAGCTAGACTGCCGAGTCAGCGCCATGACACCATGTCGCTGTCTGTTGTTTTGAGGCACTGTCTTTCGTTTTGAGCTTTGAAGCGCATCTGAGAACTTTGGGATCCTGCCCAGGCGCCTGCGGTACGGTCCCGGCAATGCACACCCTCCGAAGATGTCGCGCGCGCCGATGCGCCAGATGTGTGGGCTTTGTGTCGGGGTGTCATGCGACCCCGGGGAGTTCTGCAAGACTATGAGGCCAAGCTTCGACAACAGCTCGAAGCAGCTGCCTTGGAGTTCAGCTACTCATGTGCCGTACCGGAGTGTAGTTGTTCACAGGCCGGTGGGCAACCTCAAGGCCATCACCAGCTGCCTGTCACGCACTCACACCTACAATGCCACGCTGTTTTTACAGGTGTTGGGCTAATGCAATAAGCAACACCAAGGCCTGTGGATTTCTTTACCTTTGTCAACTCCTGTTTGCTGGTGGCCGGCCGAGCTTTCTCAAGTCCGGACCGCTGTCTGGGAGAGACCGTCCACGCCGAGGACAAAGAGCCAGGCCATCCAGAATGGCGCTTATGTTCGCTTCGTGCTGGGCTGAGGTCATGTCACAGGGCCGTGGTTCCAAGGAGGCAGGAGGCAAGTAAGAGGCATGTCTGGCAGACCAGGTGTGGCGAAGTTTGTAATCAAGGAGGTCCAGGCCGGCCTGGGGCATGCTTGGGGACAATGGCATGTGCTGATTCGCGAACGAGTTGCAAAAGGTGTGTCTCTGTGTGTGCGCGCGCGCGATTTTCTAAAAACGAAGGTTTGCAAACAACATTTTTTGGATTGCTTGGTGCGCGAAAGCCATCAAGAGCCTGCTTTGTTTACCCTTGTTTGGCTCCCCGCCTGCTTTCCCTTCTCAAAGATCCTGAAGCATTAAGCCGCGCGCTGAGTTCCCCGGGGTCATGCCTTTGAAATCGACACCCTAACCTCTTAATCTCAAGTCGCACGTGGCAAATCTGTGTGCGAGCACGTTCGCGGATTTTGTGGGCTTTGGGGCTCTTGTTTTCCGTGGGCTTAGTGCGAGGCCTGCTTGTGGCACTTTCGATAATGCTTGAAGTTGACTTACTCCCCAAAAAAACTGGAAGCGGCTGACTCCCATACGATTGTGAATTTACCATGAATGCTAGTGGTCACTGGTCACTTTGCGAGATGACTTTTCTTTCTGTCTATGGAGCCTCAGAATCTCAAAGTCTCCCCAGCTTTCTAGATTTCTCAGTGGGTGCCCGACTTTGTCATGGGCTGCTGTTGCTCCAAGTCGAAAAGGCCAGACGAAATCAAGAAGATTCCTGCACTGGCTTTGGAGGACACTGGCATTCCCAAAATCGACGACGGGTGGGCCAAGATCGGCAAGATGCATCGCACTCTTGAGTCCGACAGCAATGACCTTTACGAGGTTGTGGAGACGCTCATTGAGAAATCGGGGACAGACGAGATTCCACAGGAAGACATCACAGCTTCTTTGAGGAGCCAGATGGCAACGTGGAAGTCCATACTTGACCCCAAGCAGCTGCAGGCAATCCCAAACCTGCTTCTGGACATCCCATCCTTGCAAAATTTGGATCCCACTATTTCAGCAGTGCTTGACCTTACGAAAGTGTTCCCAAAGTTAGAGGACCCATCCTTCGAAACCATGCAGAAGGTGATCAGCACGCACGAGCCCGGTAGCAGCAAATTTCGGTCTGTGCAAGTTGGTTCGTCGTGTCCAGACGTCATCCCCAGGTGCGGCTTCAGCGCATCTGATGAAGGAGTCGATCGCTGGAAAGGACCCCGACATTGAGGTCAATGGTGTTTGTCATCAATGACCTGCTGCAGGTGAAGCTTCCACCCATGGAGACAAATCACAGCAACAGGATCATCGATTTCCATCTTGAAGACCGAGCAGACCTGGCTCTCACGCTCGCGGATCCCGAGCTTGCCGCGGAGAAAGTGGCGACAGGCGCCGAAGAAGCCGCCACAGAAGGCATTGAAGTGCTGATGGCTGGCGGAGGGATGTCAGCCGCTCAGGCCATGTGGAACAACATGAAGGCCTTGCGTCAGTTCCAGCATTCTCTCGAGACCTTGGTCAACAACATTCGAGTGATTGTAGGAGCCATCATGGATGCCTTCAGCAGCAAGAGCACCACAGCGCCAAAGAAGCTTGATGCCAAGAGATCCAAGAAACTGCAGGAAGCAGTCAAGCACTTCAAGACGAAGAGTGAGCAGGTTGCAGTCGTGGCCAAAGCGGAGAAGATGACACCATACAAACTGTCTACAGAAGAGCTTCAGATGCTTTCGGACATGGTGGAGTGCAGCCTCTTTGAGACAACAGTCGCGGGAGTCATCAGGGCGAAGGCCCCCGACGCTACCGGGTTCTACTGCGATGCTTGCTGTTCTGACTTAGATCCAGACGCGAGGATTTTGGGGTGCAAGAAGTGCAAGGAAAGCGGAGGATGGTTTGGGGGAGGGAGCAGCTGCGACATCGGCATTTGCGTTAGATGCTCTAGCTTGATGCTGGCACATGCAAGCAAGGACGTTCAAGAAAGAGGTGAAGGCAGTCGGGGAGAAAGTTGGCTACAAGCTCATGAAAGCTTACTGCTTCTACGATACAGAACGCCTGTGCAACGAGTGCGAACAGCCGTTCTCTGAGGGCGACTTCTTCCTGAGTTCCAAGGACCCCTCGGATGACTACGCTATTTGCTGCCAATGGTCCCACAAGAAGCTGGGAAAAGCGTAGAAACATTGATCGCGCCCGATGCGGTTCCTGCTGTGAGATGGGGTCAAAGATGCCCACTCCCTTGATTCCCTTTCGAAGTCCCGACACGTGGGATTTCGATGAGCTGATGATGTGCTGGCTATGCTCGCTCCTCTACAGGAAGGGAAGCTGAGGACATGTGAGTCAGTCTTCGAAAGAATCTCAAAATACATATCATAGGAGTCACATCTGCTCGTGTTATGCTGATTTTTCACTCCATGTAATCGTAGTTTCTGCATGCATGTGCTTGTTGGTGCTGATGCGCTTTTGCTAGTCAGGAAAGTCTGCGTGGTTGGCTGTGGGCCACGCTGCCTGAGGTGCCCCGGTGTGCTGACCTGAATAAACTGAGCGAGATTTCTTGAAGCGGAATCCAAGGTGAGATCTCTGCATCGGGAAACCCTGCTTCGTCGATGGCCTTCTCCCGAGCCTCCTAGCTGTGCGTTGTTGCACAGTGTACCTTACCAGATCTGCTCAGCTCAATGTAGCCAGCTACTGATCGAAATTTGGAAGCAGGTTTTGGGGTGTATCGTCATTGGCCAATGCCGCATCAAGCTTAGATCTGTATGCGGGGTTCGGCTGAACTGGTGTCTTGCCAAGCTGTGGCAGAACTTGTTGGTTGCTATTTTATCCTCACGCTCGGTAATGCCAATGTCGCTTTGATGTCTCGCGTTGTGAAGCAGCAGCACTGAACAGATGCCGGTCTTCAAGCACCACTGCGAGGACATTGCCGTTGGGGTCCTTGTGCAAGGTCATAAGTTCAAGCACAGGGGGACTATGGGGACTATGTGAGTCATGCGAGTGGCTTTGAGAAGCGTGACCTGGGGCAGTTTTGCATTGGTACAAGTGCGGAGAACCAAGGCCCGGTGTCAGGTGCAAAGACATCACTATGAGACCGAAGTGGTTGAACTCCAGGACGGCTAGCATCCGGCTTGGGTGGAACATACCCCTGAACTGCAGAGCTCCATATAGCTCCTTATAGCAGCTTCTCCCTGAGAGGAGCCTCAGGAGTCGACGGAGACAAGGCGCTGAGATGTCAGATTCTTTGCTCTGCTACTACGGAACAGGAGACGACTTCACTAAGACCATCGATGATCATCATGTATTTGACTGATTGTGTGTGACAGGTCAGACGCCAGCCCGGTACCCCGTGAGCCCGGTGCCCAGGGTGGCAGCAGGGTGACGGCGCGGCGATTTATTTGGGGGAAGACTTAGAAAGAGTTTGCAGGGACAGAATCTAGCTGCGTATACATAATGTACATTTTCATATAATGCACATACATGCACCTACATGTACACATACAATCACATGTGTATGCATATGCGTGCATGCACATACCCATACCCATACATACGCCCTTCATTTACATGCATGCACGTTTCCATTTACATACACACTTGCATTTTCATATACATATACATGTACATGTACATATACATATACACGTACATGTACATATACATATACATGTACATATACACGTACATATGCATATACATACTCATATCACAAGCACCTGTGTTGCAACACGCACGCGCAGCGACACATGTGCAGGCTCAGGCATACAAACGCCTGTGTGTAAGCAAGTGCATCCGCATGCACGTGTGTCGTTCTTTGAGGTGGCGCCTGGATCGCGAGGTGCAAGACTTCGAGGGCATCCTCGAGGCAAGTTTTCGAGGGCGCATGGGGTGCTTGCGGTCCGTTCGAGATCTCTGCTCTAGGCTCTACTTTGGGCCGCTTGCGACGTCGCCTCAGCGAGATGGTGCGGGCCCGCAGTAACCGATTAATGGCTGCGTGAACACCTTGAGGATTGTGGCGGTTCTGATGTGCTCTTCTTCTTTGACCAAGGCGGCGGCAGGTGTTCAGCCCAGGAAATGCAGATCCTCCGCAAGGCAGACTCTGACCATCAGGGCACCATGATCCACGTCATCAACGCCTGCTGCCAAAGGCATACAAATTTGCTGCGAGTAAGGAATTTTGGCAGGTCACTCGCTCGTGCCCTCCTTGAACCAGCTGCTGAGCCCGAACCTCCAAGTTCTGCGAGAGTGGTTGGCCTGCCTGGCGAATTGAGGGCTTTGGTGCACGGGAAGCAAAAGTGCCAAAAGTGGAAGCTCTAGGACGCCAGCCTCTTCGAGTTGCTCCTCTCCAATGTCTTCCTGGACAGACTAAACCCTAAACTCCCTAAACCCTAAACCCTAAACCCTAAACCCTAAACCCTAAACCCTAAACCCTAAACCCTAAACCCTAAACCCTAAACCCTAAACCCTAAACCCTAAACCCTAAACCCTAAACCCTAAACCCTAAACTCAGCACATCTCAGCACTCTGCCGGGGAAGAACATGCACTCGCAGGTTTGCATGGGGGCTTACGTGGTGAAGCTCTCCTGCGGCTCTTGGCTACAGGATCGGTGAGTGGTGAGTCCATGCGAGTCCCGTCCAATCAGCTTTGCTATCTGAAGGCCATACGTACCCGAGATGAGCAAATCCACGCCTTGTCCGAGGATCGCTGTACCTGCAAACTCTGCGCTGCCTTTCGCCACGACACGCCATGTATCTCAAACCCCCCGATTCAGCAGACGTCTCATGAATCTGTGTTGCAGGAAGCCGTGGCCTTGTGCAGCTACTTCGCGGGCTTGTCGCAGAAACCTCGTTGGCGACTCACTTCATCGGCTGGCTGTAGAGGTTTCACCATGGTTTCACCCCCCACAAACCAAGACCAAGCAAGGTGGTGCCTCAGAAGATGTCGGCTTGTGGGAACCTGGACGAGTCAGGGCTGCAGCTGCGCCGCAGACTCACAGCATGTCGGTGACCACACCTGCCGTCGAAGGTGTTGAACGTTCTGCACACGGTGCTGCTTTCACCCGCAAGCAATGCCAGGCTCGCAAAGCATCCTTTGTATAGCTTGTCTTTCCGATGGTGAAGTTGAGTTGAAAGTCCAAAAACCCTAAACCCTAAACCCTAAACCCTAAACCCTAAGCTCTAAACCCTATACCCTGGAGGTCTGTGCGCCGGCGGGAGGGTGGCCAGGGCAGTCCGGCTCAGCCCCGACAACCCGCGCAACGGCGAGCGAGCTGGCCTTGGCTTCAATCCTCTTGTGCCATCTGGTTCATGGGGGTTTAGGGTTTAGGGTTTTGGGTTTAGGGTTTTGGGTTTTGGGTTTTGGGTTTAGGGCTTAGGGTTTAGGGTTTGGGGTTTCCATGCCATCCTCCTCCAGACCTTAGTAGCCCAGTAACCATATTAGGGGTTTAGGGTTTAGGGTCCATATGGGGGTTTCCGAAATTAGGGGTACCTTCTTGGGGTCCCTATTACAAGGGAATCCTACAATTTGGGGGGCTATTTTTGGGTCCCTTATCTTCGTAAACCCCCACATCAGGTTGTGCCACGTGGGTGCAGAGCTATCCTGGGCGATTTTCCCTCAAGCAGGCTTTTTGAAAGATCCAGCAGCAACGTCAGAGCACTCAACACAGTCATAAGAAATGGGACAGAGGGACATGGACCACGTCCGAATCACATTCGGGCGGGAAGCACCAAGTAACCCGGCAGGTTTTCCGGGATCACCATACAGCCAATAGAAGAAAGCAAACATATCTTCGCCTGGTGAAGCTGCAGACCACCACATCGCTGAAATGTGTGACTTTACAATGCTTTGCCTGTCAGCTGTCAAAGCTCTGCGATCTGAATCAAGATGTCAAGGCCACTCCCAGCAGACTGGAAGAGTCCACTGGGCCAGATGCACAGATGTGCGAAGAAGGGGGCGGGGGTTGGCAGCGCGCGGCAGAGTGCAGGCAGAGTGCGGCTTCAGGGGCTTTAGTTCGCTGTGGCCAAGTGCTCTCCGTGCTGAGGCTTCGAAGATGGTCTTAGCAAGCTTGTATCGGCATGGGCCTTGACGAGGAAGCGAGAAGTGTCATGAATGGCCGTCGAAATCTTCGGAGGCTGTTTGCATCAGATGCTGAGGTGCTTTCTGACAGCCCATTGCCGTTAGAAGATGCCGGGTTCTTGGCGCCTGTCGAAGCTCTTATGGCTTGTGACTCTGATGGATATACAACGCGGGATCTGCAGCACTAGATCACAAACCTTCCCTCAAGCTCCAGGTGCTGACGTGGTTTACCGACGTTGGCCCGCCTGGTGCAAAGCCGTTCGAGGACCCGTGTTTACTTCAAGTATCCGTGGCACCGCGACGGCTGCACCCCAGTTTAAACTCTACGCGCCTCTTCTTAGCCCCCCAAGCGGCTTCGTAAAGGGCCGAAGCTGAGCCAACCCCGAGGAGCTGCCGCAGTCGGTACCGGCAGGGGCGCTCTACCAAGCAGCCGAGGAAGCCAGGCATGGCCGGGGCGAAAGGTGGTTTGGGACGGGGATTCTTCCATGCCATGCCAACCCAAGTGTGGCGACCCCATGCGACCCCCAAACCTTGCGTGTCTTTCAGTCTTAAGCTCGAAACATGCAAGTCGAGAAGAGTTGGCAGTCGAAGTAGCACGCCCTTTCGAAAACCAAAGACTTAACAAGTTTCTTTCTTCGGCATCCTGCCACGTATTCAGTTCGGACCCGAGCGGAGTCTTCCTTACTGGATGGCCAGGCTTCGGAGTCGCTCTTCCTCGATGCTGAGCTACAACGGCTCTCGGGTTGGTGACTCGCGTCGGATATCTGTGCTCAGGGCTTAGGCTCTTTCCTGTGCAGAAGAGCCCGGCAATTCGTCACGAAGACACGAAGCCATGTAGCTAGCTCCCTTCGTGCCAAGGGAAAGCATTGACATGTGTGAAGTCCGGTCTGGGCCTCGTGTCATCCATACCCAGTGTGTGCAGCAGCAAGTGCAGCAAAGCTAAGGTCCACAGGAGGGCTTTCCCTCTTTGGGCAGGTGCGGCAATGAAAAACCCAGAGCTTGAGATCTTTGTGCACTGCGGAATCTGTGAAGGCGGGCAGGCGAGATTCCTGCCGAGAGTCCTTGCGGGAGTCCTTCAACCTCACGTCGCCAGGGGCCTCGCTGCTCCGGGCTCAGTGAGATGCATTGATATGCTTACCATCGTTGTTTACACGTTTTGTTTTTACGTCTGCGGAGAGTGGTTTTCCTCCAGAAGGTTGATGACGAGCTCAGAGGCCGGCTTCCCTTGCGTCTCCGGTAGTGTGCAAGAGTATGCCTGTGAATGGAGCGGGGGCTTCGTCTGCATTCGTCTCTGTTGTTTCTTGTCTTTGGAGAGGCAGCGGCTCAGGCAGTGGCGCAGTCCTGTGCCAGCAACAGCCTTGCTATTGGACTAGCATCCGAAGGCCTGCACCAATGCCCGCAGGGTTCCTCAAAGTATCATAAAAACATTGACAGCCGCAGGTGCCGTGTGTGACCTGCGCATTGAGCAGGCCGTCTGTGCCACGGAGCTATCTCGGTGCTGGTAGAGAGGGATAATTCTCCACTCCCTGTGCAGGACGGTGCCTACGGTGCCTTCTGTGAAGTGTCGCTGAGTGTGGAGGCCGGAGACATTTTAGGCTCGCGTACGCCGTACCGACGCCGTCAACCCGAACACTCCCACCGAGTCGTACACCACGAGCACTAGGTCTTGGTAGCCTCCCCCTGGTTGAAGCCTCCTTGTCAGCGGTACCGCTGAGTACGCTGAGTGTTGTGGGTTGATACATGCCGACATCGGCTGGTGCACCCCCCTGCCCTATCCGTCTTCTTGGTGCGTTATTGAAAATCTGCGCATCCTTCCTTCCCACGACCTGCCCTGCCTTGACCCCCTTTCATGCCCTCCGCACGTTTTTTGGCGCGTAGCTGTTCTGATTTTGGTGCCGCCTTCGTGCGGCTTGGTGCACCCTTCGGGTGGGTTTTGGAGCACCCTACATGAGTTTCGGTGTGCCCTATGACCCGAAGCACCATCCGCTTTGGTACGTCGTTTGTGTTTTCCCCAAGGCTGCCGTTTGCACGTGCCAGGGGATTGAGGAAGAACCCCCCCTCGCCCCATCTGATTGCTCCTCACCTTCGAAACAGCCCTTGGCGAGACACGGCGTCTAAGAACCAACCCTCAAGTTGCGCAGCACATCGCAGCACAGCTTGTGAAGAGCGCCGCCAGAGTCCTTGCATAAAGCACATCGACGCATTCGGCAGCAGCGCGTCTCAGTGAAAATCATACATGTCCGGATCGGCAGCTTGACGCGTTCGGCTTCTTGTCAGGGCATGCCATCTGAGTGCCCTGGCGATGCAAGGACCCACGTTGACAGAGCTGTGAAGCCTTGATTCAGAACGCTCTGTCTCTGCAACGTCGCCGCGTAGGACTCTCGAGTCGCACGCTGACAGCCCAGTTCTTCGCTGGGTACAGCTGATGAAGGCTATTAGGGCTACAGAGCAATGCATCGACTACCCCGAATAACCCTAAACCCTAAACCCTAAACCCTAAACCCTAAACCCTAAAATGCTTTGTGAGCAGGCGAGTCCTCAAGCGACGCCATATTTCCAGCTGCTGGAGTGGCAGCCGCAGACCGTCCAGGAGACGAAGCTTTGCAGTGCCAGCACCATGACATGGGAGTTTACGATATTAGGGGTACCTTATTGGGTACTTGTTTATAAGGGAATCCCACTATTCGGGGTCGATATTAGGGGTCCCTTATTCCGTAATCCCCCAAATCTGTGGCAGGTCAAGATAACACTATGTTGCAGGGCCAGGGTGCAACTCAAAACCTGGATGCGACGCATCGACGTTTTCTTGTTCCATGTGTCAGGGAGCGGCTCTACGATTTCCCTAAGTTGGGCTTGTCTCCTCGTGAACCCTCGGAGACTTACAGATCCTGCACCGGACGGTCCAAGACCAGCCTTTAATGTAGCTTTCCTGAAGTCGATTGGTGGCAGTTGCACTCTGCCTGTTGTTTGGCTTCTGCGTGTCCGTGCCGTCCACCTACAATATCACTTGGCATTGATGGTTCCTAGGCGCGGAACTTGCGCAGGTATTCAGATTCACCTGTGCCAGTCACAGTGTGTGTGTGTGTGTGTGTGCGCGGTTTCCTTCAATTTCCTGCGCCAACAGCAGGAAGCTGTCGCTGCCGCCACTCCCACGGCCGCGTTGCCTTTGACACGGCTCAGAGAGGCCAAGCAACCTGCGGAAGAGAAGTAGGAATGCAGTATGACCTCTAGCTTGAACGTGATGCAGGTGCAGCTGCCAGCAGCAAAGAGCATGAGCCTGGTTTTTTCAAGCGACGAAGGCTCTTCCCCCCTTTGCAATACTGTATTACTTCTTGGCAGAAGGGTCGGCCATGAAGCATCGCCAGCACAAGCAGGTCAAGCAGGGGCTGGCTGGCTTCGGCATCTCGGCGGAGGTTAGTGTTAAAGGCACAGAATGTGGCGAAGAGGCTCGGGGCGCAAGGTGTTTTGTGGATTGTTGTGGGTTGACAGAGGTACTTCGTTGAGTTCGACTGCCCTTCCCATGCATTTCGGTTTCGCCTGGTCCTGCGCTTAGCTGACGCATGTGCGTTTTGTGCGTAGTCTTTGCATTCGCTTGTGGCTGCGCATTGCCATCTGACACGCCATTTTCTGTGAGTTTTGGAACTGGCACTAGCAGTTGCAAGCATGGCTGCGCTGGTGCACCTACTACGCCTGCAACTCCGCGTAAGATGGTTTGCACGCTGCAATGACTTTTGATGTGCAGAGGTTCTGGAGAGTTGGTGGGCAACAGAGCCAATTCGAGTTCAAGACTTACTTGATCATACGAGTGCCCTGATGAGCCTCTCGATGTGAAGCAGTTCGTGGTCTGATGCTCTGAGGAGCCTTATCCGGTTGTGGCCTACATGGGAGGCTCAGGCGCAACTTTGACACAAAGCGCAGCTCCTTGAACCCGCGTGTTGCCAGGACCTCTTGGTCGGGGAGACGAGGAGGAAGACGGCCAGCAACTAAAAACCTGCAGATTTGATTCGCAATCTGTGGCTGAAGGCTTTGCCATCCTTTGCTACCCCGCAACAACTGAGGCTGGAGGAATCTTTCCCCGCCCCTGACACGGCAGGCAGAGCACCTGGGAAAGCGAGCTGGGCAGGACTTCACGGGATTTCTTGGCTTAGGTATTGGAGCTCCGTTTGGGTGGCCTCTGGGCTGATGTCCGCAGACGCCTTGAAGTCAGAAGCTCAGGCCCGATACGAGGCAAGCGCGCTACAATGCGCTGTCAGAGGGAGCGAGAGGGTGTGTCTGTGCACGATCTGTGTGTGTGTGTGTGTGTATGTGTATGTGTGTGTATGTGTGTGTGTGTGTGTGTGTCTGTGTGTGTCTGTGTGTGTGTGTGTGTGTGTGCGGAACGGTGGCTCAGGCATCATGACTGACAGACTGAGCATGGCATGCCGTCGCACCAATGCAGAGAAAATGGTACAACAGAGACTTTCTAAAGGTGGTTGTGATGGCAGCGCCCTAAAAAAAAGGGAAAACAATTCTTTACTTCGATCATCCCCCACCTTACAGATAACCGATGATGGAGCCTTCCTGCCGTTCTCCGTCAGGCAATTCAGGACACTGGGGCTAAACCCTAAACCCTAAACCCTAACCCCTTTTTAAACAGTAACAACCCCACACCAAGGGTGTCGAACAACAGCAGCATGATGCAGCATGCGAAAGCTGCTATAGCTGCTATCAACGGGGTTGCCTGGTCAAAGTCGAGGAGATCTCTGCAATGGTTCCTGATCAGGCCCAGATTGTACAAAGCCGGACTCAGAGACACGTCAGTTCGGCCTCTGGGCCTGAGAAGGGCGAAACTCTGTGAACTGTTTATGACCGCCTGCCTTAGCCAGCTGCGACACTTGGTCGCGGGCTGGTCTAGACGAAAGCTGCCTGCAACTTCATAGAGTTTAAGACTACTTCCTCGATGGTAAGCAATCATGCTTGAGTAGATGTCTGACTGGTAGGCTGGTGCCTCATGTCGCAGAAAGGTGTGCATAAGCCCTCCTGCAAGTTTACGTGCTGCGTCCCTGGCCTTTACGTAGGTTCTGCAAAGAGCACCGCAACATCAAGTGCAGCGGCCCGTGTTTTGTGCGTGCTTGGTTCTGCTGCCGATTCAATAGCTTGTGCAAACACGTTGAATGATTTTCCCTCTCTCAGTTCCGGAGTAGCACCGTGGCAAGTATCAGGCACATTACATCATAATATCCTCAGGTGGCCAGATGCTGCACGCCTGCAAGCAGAGAGTTTATACAGTGAACACAGTCTAACTTCGCACTGCAGGCACATGTTTTAGCCGATTTTAGCCGCGACCCTTTTGTTTGCTCCAGCCGTTTGGCCTCGGATGGCGGCGTTTGTGCCAACGTCTCTTGGTCAAGCGCTGGAGGCCCTTGAGGGAGTCTGGGCCACTGGGAAGCGTGGCAGGGATCTGTTGTTTTCTTGGGTGCGTATATGTATATAATCCATTAAAGGGTATACAGGTTTTTTTCTTGCAGGTGAGACCATGCACGGCAGCAGCTCCAACGTCCGCTCCCTTTCCTCCTGTGTCCTGGTCACTCTCGGTAGCTTGTGTGCCTCACATACCGCAGGCCCGCCTCGTGGCAACGTCGACATCGTAGCCACGCAGGCCAGGTTCCATACCACCTACACATCTGTGGATGGATGGCCACGTGGCCACAAAGCGTCCGCATCGCATCAGGATCCATCAGTACTTGGGCTCCAGTTGGAGCTGCTGTCTTGGTTTGTCTACGCCGAAGCAGCAGCCTAATTTGACCTTCACGGTCGCCTTTTGACTCCAAAACGTGGCGCTTCTTCCAGAGAAGCGACGCCCAGATTCCACTGTCTTCCCGAAGCGGCGTGGGCGACAGGCCGTGGCAGTGCACCCAGGGGGTTCCCTTTGCAATTTCCAAGGGCCTGCGCGGGGTCTGTAGACTGTAGCCACGCTTTTGTGGCATCTTGTGACTTCTGGGGTGTTCGGCACACTTAACGACTCGCATTTTGCAGCGTCCTGTCACAGTGGCGCCCAGGTTGTGGCTGCGGGTGGTGCATCTGAGGTACTCTGGCTGGATGAGGACAGGGCGCCACGCAGATTTTTCGGCTTGGAAACAACGCCTTGCCCTGCAGGATGAGCTTCCGCAGGTTCCTGACTTGCCCAAAGGCACACCGGTCAAGGCAATCCGGTGGAAGCCCGTTGCGATACACGGCTCGAGATGGCCCGGCTATTGTAGATGATAGACGACAGATGATAGATTGTAGGTTATGGGTTCTAGGTTATAGGTTATAGGTGATAGAATGTGTGTGTATCTCTCACATTATATTCGTATATATATATATATGTCTATATATCTATATATCTATCTATCCATCTATCCATATATCCATATATCCATATATCTATATATCTATATATCTATATGTCTATATATCTATATATCTATATATCTATATATCTATATATCTATATATCTATATATCTATATATCTATATATCTATATATACATATATACATATATACATATATAGATATAATCGTATATAGCATATAGTACATATGATACATTATGGATTATATGTGTTTGTTATTATATTATATTATATTATATTATATTATATTATATTATATTATATTATATTATATTATATTATATTATATTATTCTGTCTTTCATAATTTATGTTTTGTAGTATTTCACACTATATATCCTATATTATATAATAAATTGTCAGGGCCAGATATTGTGCATGCACTTATTTCATGCTTCGGCGGCATCTAGGGCTCAAATGATGCTGATTACACCGAGTGTGACACAGTGTAGGGACAGGGCAAGACGCACCTTTTGTTTGGGAATGTCACACTATGTATGCATGTCTCAAACTCCCTTGGGAATGCACGGCAAAGTGCCAGCGCCAAAGAAAGCAAGCTGTTGATGCTGAAGAAAGACTACGCAATCACAGCCGTAGCATCAACGGACTGCCTGGCAAGCGATCAGATTTGGGGGGCATCTTGGCTCCGCCATCATGTTTTTGCGAGTCGGCATTTCTGTAGACAACTATTGGGTCGCGACTCGTGACTGAAACTTTTGAATTCGTGCAACATGATTGCGCATCGACAGATCGGACCGATAAAGCATGAATCGTTTTTGCTAGAGGTATGGCCTCGCTGTTCGACTATGTGTGGAAGCCACGCACAGTGGAAGACAGCATCGATGCTGGCGTTCATCCAGCGGTTGCCAAACTTCGAAGACAAGAAGCTGACAAGCAGCGAACAGTAAACGAGCCCCATCTGCACTCTGAGTTGTGTTAGGCGGATTCCCTGCGTTTGGACTGCGGAAACAGACCCGAGGATGCCATCGTCGGAAAGAGATGGCATGGCCAGTCTCGAAATGCCCCCGAAGTCGACGTCAACAAAATGAGCACCATGGACCCCACGTTTGACCCCTCGTCTCTTGGTTTCCGATCAGTTCCTGTACGATTCGAAGTCCTTCCGCGGTTCTTGTAGATGCCGGAGCCACGGATCCTCAGGCAGTTCTTCAAGCAGTCGAAGAAATTGGGCGTGCATCCGCTTGACTTTATGGAGAAGAAGGTCATGGAGCCCTCCATTCCTGGTGCGGGTAGCAGCAAGGACCGTGGAGTTTTGCAAATCTCTTCTGAGGGGTCCGCAGGGTCAGTGTGGTCAGGACAAGAAGAAAGAAAAGAAGAAGGAGAAGAGCAAGGACTTACCATTGCTTAGCAGGGAATGGGGGAATAGGGTACCATATATCCCCTATATACCCTTTAAGGGATGTAAGAGGACAAGAAGAAGAAGAAGGACAAGAAAAAGAAGAAGAAAAAGAAGAAGCGCCTCGGCAGCCTTGTCTTCCAGGTTCCATGCCCTGGTGGCCAAGCTTGCTGTGAACTATTTTTTTTTTTACAAAAGCAGGGGACCTCCTAAAAGAGACCCCAAATAGTAGGATTCCCTTAGAATATGGACCCCAACAAGGTACCCGAATTTCGGAAGCCACCATATGGCCCTAAACCCTAAACCCTAAACCCTAAACCCTAAACCCTAAACCCTAAACCCTAAACCCTAAACCCTAAACCCTAAACCCTAAACCCTAAACCCCAAACCCCAAACCCTAAACCCTAAACCCTAAACCCCATATTCCTGTAAGGAAGAGCTCGTCATCTTCGTCATCCTCGGGCTCTTCTTCCGGTTCCTCAAACAAGAAGAGGAAGGCCGAAGAGGAGACAAGCCGATCAACAAGGTTAGGGTTTAGGGTTTAGGGTTTAGGGTTCAGGGTTTAGGGTTCAGGGTTTAGGGTTTAGGGTTTAGGGTTTCAGAGAATTGACAGTTGTTGCCGTCGCCACTTCTGGCACACCTCAGGAGCTCCAGCAATATCAGATGCGCATAGCCGAGGTGCGCTCTCATCTATGCCTCCATGTTGCAAGAAGCATCCAGCTGCAAGCCTTGTGGATCACACGTGCTGCAGGCCAGGCAGAAGCAGGCAGCTCTGGCAGAGTTGGAGCAGATGAAGGCCAGCAACACGTCAACAGCATTGTTGCAGAGCCTCTAGAGTGAGCTCATATGGGTGTTTCCGAAATCAAGGCTACCTTGTTGGGGTCATTACTTTAAGGGGATCCGACTATTTGGCGGTCTATATTAGGGGTCCCTTGTTTTCGTAAACCCCCATATGGCGAATAGCCGACTTCGGGACCTTTGGGACCTCGGCATGCTGCCTGAGATCTCTGACCCGAAGGCCCAGCGGAAGGCAGCACAAGAGGCTGCGGCCAAGGCTTCGCAGCAACGCATGGTCCCAATGAGGCCGGGGGGGGCTTTGCTGGGCAGCACCCTGCAATCGTGGCAGCTGAGTGGCCAAGCCAAAACCCGAGAGCAAGCATGATAGGACTCTTTGAGTTTGCGCTCAGGGCAATTTACCTGTCGCGTTGACGGGGAGTTTGGGCATCTGCTTTTGACGCCAGAACGCGCGAATATCGCTTGCTTGAGCTGGTGGCAAGTTGTGTGAGTCAAGGGGATTTGTGTCTGGCGAACCCTAAACCCTAAACCTTTGGAAGCCCATGTTTCGGGCAGGCCGGAGGAAGGCCATGCCATGGCCAGGCGCGATGCTGTTCGTCGCGTTTACGGAAGTTGAGGGCCGTTAGGTATGCTACAGGGGTTTAGGGTTTAGGGTTTAGGGTACAGGGGTTTCGATGTGCTTCAGGGACTTTGATGGTGGTGGTGGCGATGATGAGGACGATGTTGATGTTTCAGGTTGACGTTCCGGGCTTCTGCTGAGTGGCTCACGGAGATCTGTGGTCAATCGGTATTGTTCGCATGTGGAACTTCTTACGCCTGACATGCGACGTCCATTATCAAATTGAGAGCTTGCGGAACCAGAGGCAGTTGGAAAGACAGTACTTCTCCCAGTTCAAGGCACTGCCCCAGCTTTCGTGCTTTCGCAGGTTGTTGGCGTTTCGGAAATAGGTACTTGGCGGCAAGCAGATGCCCGAACCGACATGAGCAGCAGACGGTCCCTGTCAAATGAACCTGTGTGTTTCACCGCGGCCTGACCAGCGCCGTACAGCCAGGGTCTTGCCAGCCACGGAAAAAGAGGATGCGCATACATGAGATGGCATATGCAGCCTCTCCATGCGGTCCATGCTGTACCAAACGATGCGCGGCTTTGGATAGGTAGTGGCTGACGACATCACCTTCTGGCATGTTCCTGGATCCAAGGGGTGCGCTCGACATGATCTGGAGAGTACATGCAGCATAGTCTGACACTCAAGAGATGCCAGGAAGCCCTTCAACCCGCAAGGGCTTGAAGGCAATGTGGTGCTCGGCATGCAATGAGAAGGACAGCTGGCTCGTAGGAGTGAGTGCAGAGCTTCTTCAGCCGAGGTGTCAGTAATTCAAGACGAGCACTTGACGGCAAATCGGCCAATCCTGGTCAAACTTACCAAGGCATTTTGTGCTCTGCAGCGTTGCAGGATGTTGCGGGGCGGGTCATTGTGCATGGTTGGCTCAGAAGCTCTTCTGGAAAGGCGCCCGGTGTCGAGGAAGGTTTCAAGGCCTGGGTGGATGGGAGCTGGGATTTGTTGAGCGTCTGTGGTTGAGCCTTCGGTGAAATGCTGGCCGCCCGAGGCTTTTCCAGCACACTTCTCCCTCGACGAGATTCTTGTGATGGATGAAGCTGCGCAGAGTCAGGAGATGCAAGCGCTACACCTTTCCTCCGGTTGCATGGGTCTCGCATCCTCTGAAGCAGTTTTCGCATCTCGTGCTGTCCGCATGCGTATGATAGTTTTGCAAGCCGGTTAGTTGCTTTGTGGGTAACTGACACCAAACATCACCCAACAATACATGGACTTCGCCATTGAGTTCAGTTGCCATGAAATGGATCGACATACAAAAACAGCCAGGGAGCCTCTCCTTCAAATGACACTGGCAATAGGGCAAAAGATGCAGACTTCTCTTGTAATTGCAATTCCACTCACTTGAGACACCGGCTGGCATGGTATCAAAGCCCACCGCAAAACAGCAGCCACCGCGAGAGCCCACCCGATCTTTGTGGACCGCGCAACCCACAACCCACAAACCCACACTGACAGACATCGACTGCCACGGACTTGCAAAAAGAAGGCTTATCAGAATGGAGTTCAAGATGGGTCATGTCTGGCACACATATCCCAGAGCTTGAGCTACTGAGCAAAAATCGTATCACCCCGAACGCGCAGGCTAAAGTGCTTTCCAGATCACACAAAACGCATCTCGTCATCATGGCCGTCAGCTTCAGAGTCGGCCTAGCTGCGTGCTGACCGGCCGCTGGTGCGCCGCGGCAGAGCTGCTTTGTTGCATGCTGCGTGCACTGCATCTGACACTTGCGGGACCGACAAGGCCAACAGTATTAGCAGCCCATCTAAGGAGCAGCTCCGTCGATGAGCTTCTATGGCAAGGGTAAAGGTTTGGTTGCCGAAAGTTCCTTTTGCATGACTGGAGACGGTGACGATGTGCCAGTGTTGCAGGTGATGGATGGAAAGGTGGCCCTGACTGGGGCTGGAAGGGTGCCGGTGCCTGGAAAGGCGGCTGGAAGGGCGACTGGAAAGGCGACTGGAAGGGCGACTGGAAGGGCGACTGGAAGGGCGACTGGAAGGGCGACTGGAAGGGCGACTGGAAAGGCGACTGGAAAGGCGACTGGAAAGGCGACTGGAAGGGCGACTGGAAAGGTGGCAAAGGCACTTCTCCAAGCAGGTTTTGTTCAGGGCGCAATGCATCACTTCACACCTCTACATGGGCTGCCTGCCATACGAACTTGCTACAGTAGTGAGGGCAGCGGCGGATCGTAGGCAGGGAATGTTGGTTCTTCCTGGGATCACGCCGCGTCGCCACGGCACTCACGCTTGCAGCTGTGTCCACCTCGCAGGTTCAGCTCCTTCATCTGCGCGTTGTTCCATCCATGGTTGGAGGCTCAGACTTGTACCGCCAGCGACCGACAATCGAGCTGCAGAGCATCACATGAAGGCTATGGATCGCCTGCCTTGCTCGCAACCCACTCTAAACCTTACAACACATTTTTTCCACAAATGAAGCCCTGAGCAAAGCTAAACTCAGAAGAAGTCATACAGTACACTCGGTCTTGACATACCACCGGAGTGCACGCGGTCTTCACTGCGGGTCTCCCTTTCTTTGGCGCCTTTGGATCTTCCGCGTTGGGGGGGGCGCGCATGCCTGTTCTGTGCGCTAGGCTTGATGAAGTTGGATGCGATTCATGAAGCCCATTGAAGCCCGCTTGGCTTTAAAAAGAGGCCTGTCGAGTGTCGACGCAACAACAGCTTTCAAAGTGCTGGTCTGCATTGGTTGACCAGCAGCCGGGAGCGCGTCTTTGACATCATTTACGAAGATTGGCGGCTCGGAAAGACTGTGGAATGACGCCGGCGCAGCACTACAATGGTTAGTTAGTCTGCCTATGTGCACTGGGGTCCCCTGAAGGCGCGATGGCGTCGTATTGGCGGAAGAAACAGGAAGAAAAGCAATGATGCACACCAAGTTGGCAGCCCTCTTCATGTGAGTTCTTCTGCCCTGATTTGGTCGTCATCGGCTCTCTCAGCAGCTCGTCGTTGCCTGCGAGAGGCGTTCTTGATTTTCAGCTTTGCCTCTCCAATCTTGTTGAGATTTCACAAGTTTCTATAATGTAGCAAAATTGTGTGTCAGTCCGTCCTCCAGCTTTTGCAACTCTCTCTTGCGCTAGCCATCGTTTGCATCTCACGTGCCTTTCCCCCTGTTTTGCTTCTCTGTTTTCATGCGCACCTCGTCCGATGCCCGGTCCCGTTACAAGCTGGTTGAGCATTTGGGCTGAAACAGCCGCTAGCCATCATCTTCGCAAGGTTTTGTGGATTTCGGATGATTTCAGCAGATGGGCTAGATGATGTCCTCGTGGAGTATCGGGGAGCCAGGGTGCTCTTAATTCGAAGACCGTAAAATATAGGACGTAGGACTCAAGGTTTAGGGCGTGTGGTTTTTTTGGGCTGAGGTGTCCCTATTCAAGGAACCATAAGGGATGTGCACACATGTTTCCGAATCATTTTAGGAGGTCCCCTAGTTTCGCAAACCCCATATGGAGACCGCTTAGGTTCTCTCAATTGAGGGTGAAGAGTCTCCGACGTTCGTTTTCGGATTATGTTTTGTTTTTTTCTTCCGGAGTTGTTGCAGCAATATGATTATTATCACTGTTGCTAATACGACGATCGTTATTATGCATGAATTCTTCAGCTTAGTAATACTTCTGTGACCAGTATGATGCCTAGACTCTCTAGCCAAGACCCTAAAGCCCTAAACCCTGGATAATGCCTCCCTCTCCGCTCCCCCCCTCATGCGGTGACTAGATCTTCGCTTTTTCTTCAGGGTTTAGGGGTTTAGTTCTATGTCTCGTGTACGAGTTTTCGGCCGGGGCTTCACGAGAGCTGTTTTGAAAGCTGCAGTTTGAAGCTGGGAGACGCATCCGCAGGGAAAGCCGACTAATCGGCTGGTGGGGATGTGTTCTTGCTTCACACACGGACAGCATGCTTCTGCGTCCTTGTCCGTGAGCTTTTTTATGTGGTTGTGCAGGAGGTCGGAGGTCCTCGGCTTCAACTTCTATAACGTAGCAATTGTACTAGTCCGTGCAAAGCCGGCAGAAGATGTCGCCACCGACTTTGCGCTTTTCGCGAAGGTTCTGATGTTATGCAGTATGGTTGCTCTTGAATAGGATGAACATACACAAGATTTTCTGCGAAGAGCGTATGGCTAGTTTTGGGACATCCATCATATGCAATATGCGGCCGATCTCGTGCTTTGGCTGCGTGTCTCGAATCTCGGTTGGCCCAGCTTGCCCCGCATGCTCAGGGATGCAGCGTGACCTCCTGTTCTTGGAGGACACATCGATGTCAGCTGTGTCGTTTCTTCTTTGGGTTTTGTTATTCTGTTTGTGTGTGTGTGTGTGTGTGCGTGTGTGTGTGTGTGTGTGTGTGTGTGTGTGTGTGTGTGTGTGTGTGTGTGTGTGTGTGTGTGTGTGTGTGTGTGTGTGTGTGTGTGTGTGTGTGTGTGTGTGTGTGTGCGCGTGTGTGTTTTCAGTGCAATGTGCACGCTTGAGGATGATGGTGAGGGTGGCATGCGCTGCTTGGCGGCCTCTCCCTGCCCTGTCGGGCTGCTTGGCCGGGAAAGTTGATCAGCACCGGTTCAGCTGATCCATTCCTTTCTGGCATTTCAGCGCATGGGAGCCTAGGAGTCCAACACTCCAGTGTCTTAGAAGTGTGCTTTCAAGCTTTTAAGCTGCCCTGAGTGTGAGACCTTGTGCATGTTTTAGTGCCAAATTTTAAAACCCCAAGTTGGGCCTGTCCCATGGATGGCAGCTTCCTACCGCAGTCTGCCCTGGAAGGACAACAGCCACTCAAAGCCTGTCAGAACGTGTCGCGGCGGCGGCAGCAGCAGCTGCAATCAAGGAGAAGGAGAAGCCTGTGCCTCTGCATAGCATTGCAGTGAGCCGCATGCCCGTGGGCCCTTCAGGAGGCAGCCACCAACCAGAATGCGGGCGGGTTCATGCTCGGAGGCACCGTCCTACCTGGAGTGTCAAGTCTATCTGACAGCAAACCGTGTCAGAGGTGGCAAAGGCAAAGATGGTAAGGGCTGCCAAGGAGGCCAAGGAGGTACTCCTTGGCAGGTGCCAAGGCCACCGAAACCTATGTGACGCTCCGCAATCCAGCCATGGCAGCACTTGGGAGGCCTCCGCCGCCAGTGACTCCTACAGATGCCCTGCGTGAAAAGTTGTGGCTGGCGCCTCTATGAGCACGCGGGAGGGAGAGGGGTTCAGGAGAGCCGGCTCTGGTGTGTGTGTGTGTGTACCCCCACCCCCTTAAAAATGTAAAATTGGGGAGGGGGCGCATAATTGTAAGCGCTTTTACTTTACAATTTTGCATAACTGGCACCCGAGGAGTGCCGCAAATCACGGGGGCCCAAAATGTAAATTACAATTTTAGCATCCCCCCCCT